CCCTTCTTTGTCATTTACTGCCCCAGTGCATTCATTACTTACCTTAAAATATTTGTAGTCTTAATGTAGGGTGAGAGGTGAGTAGTATTTATTTGTAGGAAGTCACTGTAGGCAGCAGTAGATGTAGGTACATGTATGTAGCTCCCCTGGGCTACACTACACAGCCATATTATTACCATGTTCACTGAGTTTAATCGTTTCTAACAACTACCTTTAGATGCCATTACAAACAAAGGAAGAAGTAATAAATAATTTATGCCGAGAATTGTAAACAAACGCTTATGAAGGGCAGTGACTGTGCCAGACGCCAGATTCACAGTTTTCTCTAACAGTGAATCAGAAAAATCATAATGTTTACTCTCCACCTGACTCGCCACTTGATAACATTGCATATTTATAAGCTATGTGCTATGTAACGTGTTTCTTATATAATTTTGAAGAAAATATCATAGATGGATTAATGAAAATGTCTATATTACCCTAAAATAAGACATTTAATATGCCCATGAGTGATTATTATTAAACATACATCGCATATAAACATTGCATGTTTTTATATACTATGTAACATGTTTCTTTTGGCCCACTGTGGCTTATTTTTCAGTTACACTCAGTAAACAACTACAAAAAACAATGGATTATGACGAAATGTTTGGATGAATGCGTGGAATGTTGCTCACCCACCCAGAGACAAAACCAGACTGACTCATGAACGTGGTCGGGTGAACGTGTCAAATATGGCTGATTTTCAAGTTGCCAGCCGAAATCCAGGACAGAATTTCAGCCAAAAAAGCAGCCGAAATCCGATTTGGCCGATATTCACATAGGCCAATATCCGGGGTTCCACTGTACTATACGTATATGTTGTTCATTGGGTTATTATATCACATTATATTTAGTGGGGAGGAGTAAGTGAAACTTGACATGCTTTTCCCACAGAGTTTCAAATTAAATGATTTAACTTTTTGTGGGTTAGGGTGGGTTGGATTACAACCCATCCTAACCCAACTTATCCTAAACTAACCTAACCCCTCTCCATTCCAAAACCCACTTAATATTGTTTACTTTAAACTATACATTGTTGCCAAACTCAGTGGAGCCTCTGTACTAGGTACTGACCAAAACAATATTTTCTCAAACCTTTTCATTAGACAAGTGAAATTTAATAAATGTATGGAAGAGGGTAAGGTACCTAGGGATTGGCAGAGAGCATGTATAGTTCCTTTGTATAAAGGCAAAGGGGATAAAAGAGAGTGAAAAAATTATGGGGGGATAAGTCTGTTGAGTGTACCTGGCAAAGTGTATGGTAGAGTTATAATTGAAAGAATTAAGAGTAAGACGGAGAATAGGATAGCAGATGAACAAGGAGGCTTTAGGAAAGGTAGGGGGTGTGTGGACCAGCTGTTTACAGTGAAACATATAAGTGAACAGTATTTAGATAAGGCTAAAGAGGTCTTTGTGGCATTTATGGATTTGGAAAAGGCGTATGACAGGGTGGATAGGGGGGCAATGTGGCAGATGTTGCATGTGTATGGTGTAGGAGGTAGGTTACTGAAAGCAGTGAAGAGTTTTTTACGAGGATAGTGAGGCTCAAGTTAGAGTATGTAGGAAAGAGGGAAATTTTTTCCCAGTAAAAGTAGGCCTTAGACAAGGATGTGTGATGTCACCGTGGTTGTTTAATATATTTATAGATGGGGTTTTTAAGAGAAGTAAATGCGAGGGTCTTGGCAAGAGGCGTGGAGTTAAAAGATAAAGAATCACACACAAAGTGGGAGTTGTCACAGCTGCTCTTTGCTGATGACACTGTGCTCTTGGGAGATTCTGAAGAGAAGTTGCAGAGATTGGTGGATGAATTTGGTAGGGTGTGTAAAAGAAGAAAATTAAAGGTGAATACAGGAAAGAGTAAGGTTATGAGGATAACAAAAGGATTAGGTGATGAAAGATTGAATATCAGATTGGAGGGAGAGAGTATGGAGGAGGTGAACGTATTCAGATATTTGGGAGTGGACGTGTCAGCGGATGGGTCTATGAAAGATGAGGTGAATCATAGAATTGATGAGGGAAAAAGAGTGAGTGGTGCACTTAGGAGTCTGTGGAGACAAAGAACTTTGTCCTTGGAGGCAAAGAGGGGAATGTATGAGAGTATAGTTTTACCAACGCTCTTATATGGGTGTGAAGCGTGGGTGATGAATGTTGCAGCGAGAAGGCTGGAGGCAGTGGAGATGTCATGTCTGAGGGCAATGTGTGGTGTGAATATAATGCAGAGAATTCGTAGTTTGGAAGTTAGGAGGAGGTGCGGGATTACCAAAACTGTTGTCCAGAGGGCTGAGGAAGGGTTGTTGAGGTGGTTCGGACATGTAGAGAGAATGGAGCGAAACAGAATGACTTCAAGAGTGTATCAGTCTGTAGTGGAAGGAAGGCGGGGTAGGGGTCGGCCTAGGAAAGGTTGGAGGGAGGGGGTAAAGGAGGTTTGTGTGCGAGGGGCTTGGACTTCCAGCAGGCATGCATGAGCGTGTTTGATAGGAGTGAATGGAGACAAATGGTTTTTAATACTTGACGTGCTGTTGGAGTGTGAGCAAAGTAACATTTATGAAGGGATTCAGGGAAACCGGCAGGCCGGACTTGAGTCCTGGAGATGGGAAGTACAGTGCCTGCACTCTGAAGGAGGGGTGTTAATGCTGCAGTTTAAAAACTGTAGTGTAAAGCACCCTTCTGGCAAGACAGTGATGGAGTGAATGATGGTGAAAGTTTTTCTTTTTCGGGCCACCCTGCCTTGGTGGGAATCGGCCAGTGTGATAATAAAAAAAAAAAAAAAAAAATAATAATAATGATAAAGTGAAATTTAAAAGAAATATATAGTACACTTAAATCTAAAGCGAAGATTTATAACCAGATTACTGTAGAGTATATTGCACAATTTTATACATGAGATGTTAAAAGAAATGGTTTAAATCACAAATCATAAAATGGGGTTCAAAAAAAAAAAAGCATATGAAGTATTTGTACATTATGCTTATTGTGTGTATAGAATTAACCTTTAAATGGTCCAAATGTATATATACGTTCACTCGCGCAGCGCTCCGAATATTTAAAAAAAAAAATCATTTTTTTTATAGAAAAAAAGCACATTTTTTTAAGTATTTTAGAATAAAAAAAAAAATTTTAGGGTCAGTACTTATCAAGATATGAGGCTGAGAAGTTGGCACTGGATGCTCATGTGACAGCAACATCGAGTCCTGCCGCTTGCAGAAGTGTTGCCGATATACCTTTTTTTCTGTTTTTCATATTATTTTATGTAATTTTTATGTTCTGATAATTACAATTTGTAGTAGTTCTTGTCATTTGATAACCAATCTTTGTTCTGACACTAGTATTAGGTACTGAAATTGTACTCAAATTGTCAGAAACACACTGACAGGTGGACATTTACACCTGCCTTAGCCATTTACTATTGTCTTGGAATATATACAAAGTATTTATATGTCCCAGCAATGTTTTGGATATGTGGAAGTATATAATAACAATGAGGAGGAGGAGGAGGAGGAGGAGAAGAAGGAGGAGGAGTAGAAAGAGGAGGAGGAGGAAAAAGAGGAGGAGGAGGAAGAGAAGGAGGAGGAGGAGGAAGAGAAGGAGGAGGAGGAGGAAGAGAAGGAGGAGGAGGAGAAGAATAATACGTAATAATAATAATAGGTAATAATAAGTTCCCTTGAAGCATGAGAAACGAAGTCCACCCCTGACAGTGACATGATGAGATAACAACTGATAAGAGCTGACGTTTGATGAGCATACACGAGGGTGGGGGAGGGTGCAGCTGATAAGAAAAGATTAGAGGTGATATTTGATGAGCATCGCCCTCATTTTATTTTCGCTGGTACACAAACTTGTCTGTCTATTTGTCTGTGTCAAGCTCCCTGTCTATCTGTCTATCCGTCTAGCTCTATCTCAGAGAGAGCCACAAGACTGCGTCCTCATCACGTTTACTCGCATCTTCAAGCAGAGTATAGCACTTTGTCTGGATGTTTTGGGTTATCCTAGGTAATTTACACTATGTATACTTGTATTTTTGTGTACCTGTGAGACAGAGATAGACAGACAGATAGAAAGAGAGACAGATAGACAGAGACACAGATAGAGACAGAAGTAGACAGAGGTAGACAGAGACAGAGGTAGACAGAGACAGAGATAGACAGACCCTAAACTTGGGGTTAACATCACTTTCCTCTTAAAAGAGGAGTGTTAGTATGACATTACATCAGTGAATCCTTGGTGTTTGCCGCACTGTTTGCTCTAGCTGGCGCTCAATTTAATTGGCACTCCCACAAGGTACTAAGTGGTCCCAGATTTTTTTAATACCGCACACACTGAGTGTTAGGACCCATTCTATGCTGACAAGGCATCTCAGACCAATCGTGCCAAATTTAAAGGCAGGAAAAATAAAACATATGTACGTTTGGGGCGCTATGCGTAAGAACGTATATATACGTTTGGACCGTTTAAGTGTTAAGGAGGAGACTAAAGCCAAACTATTTGAAGAATTATGATTATGTTCCAGGAACATAAGCTATATTTACAGTAATCTGTACAATAAATTTTAATCATGGACAAGCACTGAATCCGTACAGATCTTAAAGCCCCAGGGAAATAAAAGGTAATCATGTTAATTAATTAAGGGAAGAGGCATTTCCAAGTCATTAAATCAAGAGCCCCATGTTGGCATCAAGGCACCTTTCTTGAAGGAAGTTCAGTAGTAAATTTAATAAAGAGGAACACTAAAGTTACTATTATATTGTATAGTAAGTAGATTACATCTGTAATATATTGACAAGTGGTCACTTAGCTTAATATCTCAGAACCCCTTCGGGACTGCCAGTATTTATAAAAAAAATTCTTAGGTTGAGATCACCTAGCACCATGAGCTTGGTTGTATTTGCTGGCTTCGGAGTTCTCTCAATAATACGCATTGTCACATTGGTAGTGGGTGACATCCACAAAGACCCTGGACCTTCCTGTGATTACTGTTCTAACTACAGTATTTAACCAGAGAAATCATTGCACTCTGGTACTGTCAGTTTCTCAAGCCTCCAGCTCCTCTTTATTGAGAGTACAATGCCTCTGCCCTCCATTCTTCTCATTTCTCATTATTTTGTAGCTGCTAGGAAAGATAATGTTGATAATTACTTTTTTTTATTTTAACTTCTATGAATGCAATAAGGTCTAGGTGATCTCCTTTTACAGTTTTATATGGTATACTCATCTTGTTTGAGATTTCATTTATGTTTTTACACATTACTGTGAAACGTGAGTATGTGAAATAATGGGATACTAGATGAAGAGTTCCAGCTGCAATTTAAGGATGAGGGAGATTAATAGTTGGATGTGGTGGTGGCATTTACTATAGATGGTTTTTGTTGATGTGGTGTGTAAATGGATGATAGGAAGGGGTGTTTGGGACAGGTAGCGAAAGGGAGGGACCATGAAAGAGGTATGGATTAATGCAAGTGGGAGAGTGGATTAATACAAGTGGGAGAGTGGATTAATACAAGTGGGAGAGCAGATTAATGCTAGTGGGGGAGTGTATTAATGCTAGTAGGGGAGTGTGTTAATACTAGTGGAGGGGGAATGTATTAATGCTAGTGGGGGAGTGGATTAATGCTACTGGGAGAGTGGATTAATGCTAGTGGGGGAGTGGATTAATGCTAGTGGAGTCATCATGCTCTCAGAAGAATTTATTTTTCAGACCCTTCTTAAATTACGTGCAAGAGGAAGTAGGGGATTTGTGTGGTCTGGGAGAGACAAAAGAACAACAGCAACAGGTCCAGCTGATGCTTAGAGCACTGGGTAATGCTGGAGTGCTACCCTACCACCAATTTCCTGAGAAGTGCTACATGGTAAGTACATACAGTGTTTTAAGAGGAATTTGTCTTCTTGTTAATGAAGAACTGCTCCTATTTATAATTAAGAGTGATAAAATTTATTATGTATGATGTAGCACGTAATGAAAGTAGTTTGTTAGATTATGTATTGGTGGATAAAAGGTTGATGGGTAGGCTCCAGGATGTACATGTTTATAGAGGGGCAACTGATATATCGGATCATTATTTAGTTGTAGCTACAGTTAGAGTAAGAGGTAGATGGGAAAACAGGAAGGTGGCAACAACAAGTAAGAGGGAGGTGAAAGTGTATAAACTAAGGGAGGAGGAAGTTCGGGCGAGATATAAGCGACTATTGGCAGAAAGGTGGGCTAGTGCAAAGATGAGTAGTGGGGGGGTTGAAGAGGGTTGGAATAGTTTTAAAAATGCAGTATTAGAATGTGGGGCAGAAGTTTGTGGTTATAGGAGGGTGGGGGCAGGAGGAAAGAGGAGTGATTGGTGGAATGATGAAGTAAAGGGTGTGCTAAAAGAGAAGAAGGTAGCTTACGAGACGTTTTTACAAAGCAGAAGTGTTATAAGAAGAGCAGAGTATATGGAGAGTAAAAGAAAGGTGAAGAGAGTGGTGAGAGAGTACAAAAGGAGAGCAGATGAAAGAGTGGGAGAGGCACTGTCAAGAAATTTTAATGAAAATAAGAAAAAATTTTGGAGTGAGTTAAACAAGTTAAGAAAGCCTAGGGAAAGTATGGATTTGTCAGTTAAAAACAGAGTAGGGGAGTTAGTAGATGGGGAGAGGGAGGTATTAGGTAGATGGCGAGAATATTTTGAGGAACTTTTAAATGTTGAGGAAGAAAAGGAGGCGGTAATTTCATGCACTGGCCAGGGAGGTATACCATCTTTTAGGAGTGAAGAAGAGCAGAATGTAAGTGTGGTGGAGATAAGTGAGGCATTACGTAGAATGAAAGGGGGTAAAGCAGCTGGAACTGATGGGATCATGACAGAAATGTTAAAAGCAGGGGGAATATAGTGTTGGAGTGGTTGGTACTTTTGTTTAATAAATGTATGAAAGAGGGGAAGGTACCTAGGGATTGGCGGAGAGCATGTATAGTCCCTTTATATAAAGGGAAAGGGGACAAAAGAGATTGTAAAAATTATAGAGGAATAAGTTTACTGAGTATACCAGGAAAAGTATACGGTAGCGTTATAATTGAAAGAATTAGAGGTAAGACAGAATGTAGGATTGCGGATGAGCAGGGAGGCTTCAGAGTGGGTAGGGGATGTGTAGATCAAGTGTTTACATTGAAGCATATATGTGAACAGTATTTAGATAAAGGTAGGGAAGTTTTTATTGCATTTATGGATTTAGAAAAGGCATATAATAGAGTGGATAGAGGAGCAATGTGGCAGATGTTGCAAGTATATGGAATAGGTGGTAAGTTACTAAATGCTGTAAAGAGCTTTTATGAGGATAGTGAGGCTCAGGTTAGGGTGTGTAGAAGAGAGGGAGAATACTTCCTAGTAAAAGTAGGTCTTAGACAGGGATGTGTAATGTCACCATGGTTGTTTAATATATTTATTGATGGGGTTGTAAAAGAAGTAAATGCTAGGGTGTTCGGGAGAGGGGTGGGATTAAATTATGGGGAATCAAATTCAAAATGGGAATTGACACAGTTACTTTTTACTGATGATACTGTGCTTATGGGAGATTCTAAAGAAAAATTGCAAAGGTTAGTGGATGAGTTTGAGAATGTGTGTAAAGGTAGAAAGTTGAAAGTGAACATAGAAAAGAATAAGGTGATGAGGGTATCAAATGATTTAGATAAAGAAAAATTGGATATCAAATTGGGGAGGAGGAGTATGGAAGAAGTGAATGTTTTCAGATACTTGGGAGTTGACGTGTCGGCGGATGGATTTATGAAGGATGAGGTTAATCATAGAATTGATGAGGGAAAAAAGGTGAGTGGTGCGTTGAGGTATATGTGGAGTCAAAAAACGTTATCTATGGAGGCAAAGAAGGGAATGTATGAAAGTATAGTAGTACCAACACTTATATGGATGTGAAGCTTGGGTGGTAAATGCAGCAGCGAGGAGACGGTTGGAGGCAGTGGAGATGTCCTGTCTAAGGGCAATGTGTGGTGTAAATATTATGCAGAAAATTCGTAGTGTGGAAATTAGGAGAAGGTGTGGAGTTAATAAAAGCATTAGTCAGAGGGCAGAAGAGGGGTTGTTGAGGTGGTTTGGTCATTTAGAGAGAATGGATCAAAGTAGAATGACATGGAAAGCATATAAATCTATAGGGGAAGGAAGGAGGGGTAGGGGTTGTCCTCAAAAGGGTTGGAAAGAGGGGGTAAAGGAGGTTTTGTGGGCTAGGGGCTTGGACTTCCAGCAAGCGTGCATGTGCGTGTTAGATAGGAGTGAATGGAGACGAATGATACTTGGGACCTGACGATCTGTTGGAGTGTGAGCAGGGTAATATTTAGTGAAGGGATTCAGGGAAACCGGTTATGTTCATATAGTCGGACTTGAGTCCTGGAAATGGGAAGTACAATGCCTGCACTTTAAAGGAGGGGTTTGGGATATTGGCAGTTTGGAGGGATATGTTGTGTATCTTTATACGTATATGCTTCTAAGCTGTTGTATTCTGAGCACCTCTGCAAAAGCAGTGATAATGTGTGAGTGTGGTGAAAGTGTTGAATGATGATGAAAGTATTTTCTTTTTTTGTGATTTTCTTTCTTTTTTGGGTCATCCTGCCTCGGTGGGAGACGGCCAACTTGTTGAAAAAAAAAAATTATTAAATGGGATGCATTAAGAAGGTATTAGTGTGCTTTGTCACCAATTTGGCTAATAATTTCTCTGTTTACTCTTGATATATACTGCACAATGTACTGTCATGCTTCCTAAAGCAAATTCCAATTTCTAATATGAGATTTTAAACAAATTGCTTGATATATGTTGTTTAGAGTAGGGTTAGTTTGACTGCCATCTGTAAACATAATTTAGCGAATTATAACTTTTGAAATTATAATAAAACGATTGCAAACAGATCACAGAATGGGTGGGACTTGAACCCATGGCAAGTAAGTTAGCACACTGGCTTGTGGGGTTTAGAATTCATCTGCCATGGATTCCATCTCCACCTGATCTGTTAATGATTTTTTTTAATGAATTCTGAAGTATCATAACACCAACAGATGCAATAATACCCAAAGTGGATAGAAACTTTTTAAGCATGAACTGACAGCAGAGACCCATGCCCAGTGCAATTTAAAATTGAATCTCAAATAATCACATTTTTCATTCCACTGGCAGTCACACATTCGATGTTCTGAGCCAAAGTGATGTTCATGCTCCAAAGTTTCTATTTCCCTTTATGTGTTATTGCATTTTGTGGCTTTATGGTATGTTTATGGAGGATATTCTTGCCTAACCGAATTTAACTAGGTTCATTTATTTTACAGACGTGTATTTTCTTTTAGTTTTTGAAATTTGCTGTATGCATTCAAGATAACTTTTGAAAAACAATTTAAATGTGTTTGGTTAGATTAGGTAAAATTGGTCAGGAAACAGGACAAGTGTTTCCTGACATGGGTCTTAGTCATATGATGACCCGTCACTGGAGCTTTTGGTCATCTGACAGAGGCCTTCCACTTACTTACCCATCCACTGACTTACCCATATAGTTATATGTTATAACTATATTAAAAATATTTTAAATGCATATATTTGTATAACAAATACTGATTTATATTCTGTATTTGAAAATGTTGATTTCTAATGCACATTCTTATACATACTTTGATATAATTTAATAAGTTACATAACATTATCAGTTCTTATAATTTGATAATATTTCATAAATTACATAACATTATTAGTTCTTATATTTTGATGTTATTTAATGTTATATAACAGAATTACATTATTATATTTTAATTATATTTAATTAACCTCACAGTAATTTGCAACTAAATTTCATATTGCTTTCTGGATTATAGAATCAAAATTTGGCACCAGAAGTGCGTGTTGCTGCTCTGCAGACCTACCGTAGAGCTGGCTGTGCTCACTCCAAAGCTCCTTGGAAGGTAAGAGGACCAGGTGGCTTCCTGAACCAATAAACTGCACGTTAAACCTCATTATTATATTCACGAGAGAGCACTGAATGTGTTGGGGTCATACTGTGCTTGAGGAATGGGAGGTACTGCAATCAGACTGAATTTCTTTGAATGCTCTCTGAAAGAACATAGGCAACTTGATACCAGCAGAAAGCATCCATACACAGATAACTCACACATAGGAGAGAGGAGCTTTTGATGACGTCTCAGTCTGACTTGGACCATTTACAAAGTCACACTGTGTGACTTTGTAAATGGTCCAAGTTGGACCAAAATGTCGTGGTAAACTCCTCTCTCCTATGTGCTAGTTATTTGTGTATGGATGCTCTCTGCTGGTATTAAGTTGCCTTCCTCCCTTCCTTCTGGAAAGAGCATTAAACCTCAATATAATATTCCTTTTAAATTGGCCAGCAACTCAAAAATACTGTAGATGATTCTTAGTTGGTCAATGTGTTTTAAATCCTACCAACTACACTAGCCTCATTAAGGTTGCATGTAACATTTTCACTGCTAGATAAGAATAGCTTTATCCCTAAAACATGTATTAAAGCAAATTCTCAGCATATATACACTGAGAGATATATGCCTAATGGTGCACATATCCTGTGATTATTCTTAGTTAAACTAAACTTTTATAAGCAAAAACTATCGTTTTCCACAATTAAATCACAAATTAGTGATGAAATCATATGGCATTTCTGAACAACCTGAATCATTATCAAGTCAGATGGACCAAAACATCAATTTTTTTTTTTCTAATTTGTGAGCTAATTGTGAGTTGCTTCAGCCATAGTATTATTATCTCTATTCATGAGGATAACTTATTTTTCAACCACCAGTCTTGTATTACAGAACTGCCAGAATGGTTTATGTTTAACCAAATTTGCTAAGCTTCACTAAATTAAGAAAACCATTTCATTAACCTAAAACCTTTCAAACATTAACCCTTTCAGGGTCAAGAGGCCCTCTCCTAAACTTGTTCTCAGGGTCGAAAATTTTTCGGAAAAAAAAATTATTTTTTTCTTATGAAATGATAGAGAATCTTTTCCCGATCATAATGACACCAAAAGTATGAAATTTGATGGAAAACTTACGGAATTATGCCCTCGCGAAGTTAGCGGTCTTGGCGATGTTTACGCATCAGCGATTCTGCCCACTTTGAGCCCTATTTTTGGCCAATTCCTGTGTACTAGTCGACAAAAATCATATTTATTTTGCTAGAACTCCATTTTTTCTATCGAATGAGTACAAGAAACCACCCATTTACCAATTTCAACTATCCAATAAAGTGGTTAGAAATTGGCAATTTTGCCAATTTAACACAAATTTCAGAAGATGCCAATTTCCAAATAGAGTCCAGAATAAACAAGAAAGACATTACTGGCACTAAAATAACAAGTTCTCTGTTCATTAGTCATGTCCCCAGGCCCCTCTTATATTTCTTTTGCTTTCCACTTTGAATTTTTAGTCTTACAAAAAATAGAAGATTTACTGTTATGCAGAATACTGCATTAGCATAGAAATGGTATAAATAACATCAGCACACTTGTGAAAGAATATTAGACTCACCAGTTGACATGTATTGGACACTTGGCACGATTTATATACTTTTGAAATTTGGTAAAAATCGAACATTTCTGCTACTTTGAGCTCAATTTCAAGGTACTTTTCATTGTGAAACCAGTCAAAATCATCTCAATTTCTGTAATATGTTTTCCATTCTTTAAAATTAGACCAGGAAAACTAGAATACAACCGTAAATACTATACGAAAATACAGTGCGAAGTCGTCGTTTTAATCCAAAAACAAAGTCAAAGTTTTTTTTCTCATTACGCACTGTGTGCTGCAGGATTTTTTTTATACTACGCACACTGACCACATAGACCCATTCTTTCATATGTAGGCCTACCAGCTTTCTCTCGCTAGATTTGAAGGCGCTAGAATTTAGGCGTACTAGTACGTCAATAACCCTGGTGCGTAAGCCGTACTAGTACGTTGAAAACCCTGAAAGGGTTAAGTAACCACAATGAATGCTGAAATATCCTCCTTTGCAACATTAACCACCCATGCTTCACACCCATATAAGAGTGTTGGTACTACATACATTCCCCTGTTTGCTTCCATAGGTTACGTTCTTTGTCTCCACTGATTGCTCTGTGCACTACTCACATATTTCCCCTCATTAATTCTATGGTTCACCTGGTCTTTCATAGACCCATCTGCTGAACACAGTCACTTCCTCCATACTCCCTCCATCCCTCCCTCCCTCCCTCCCTCCCTCCCTCCCTCCCTCCCTCCCTCCAGTCTGATATCTAGTCTTTCATTACCTAATTTTTTTGTGTTAGATTCTTTGTCTTTTAATCCCACACCTCTTCCCAGCACCCAAGCATTCACTTCTACGACCCCATCTATAAATATATTGAACAACCATTGTGATACCATGCATTCCTGTCTAAGGCCTGCTTTTACTGGGAAATGATCTCCCCCTCTCTCTCTCCTACACACTCTAACCTGAGCCTCCCTATCCTCATAAAAACTCTTAACTGCTTTTGATAACCTACCACCTATTCCATACATTTAAAACATCTGCCACATTGCTTCCCTATCTACCTTATCACATGCATTTTCCAAATCCATAAATGCAACGAAAACCTCTTTACCCTTCTCTAAATACTGTTCACTTATATGCTTCACTGTAAACACTTGGTCTACACATCCCCTACTCTTTCTAAAGCCTCCTTGTTCATTTGTTATCCTGCTGTCCATCCGTTTTGCTCTTAATTCTTTCAATAATAACTCTACCATAAGTTTTTTTTTTTCAACACATTGGCCATCTACCACTGAGGAAGGGTGACCCAAAAAATATTTCAGCACTTTCTTCATGATTCAACACTTTCACTATCATTCACACATAATCACTGTCTTTGTAGAGGTGCCCAGATACAACAGTTTAGATGTCACTCCAAACAACCAATATCCCAAACCCCTCCTTTAAAGTGCAAGCATTGTACTTCCCACCTCCAGGATTCAAGTCTGGCTAACCAGTTTCCTTTAAATCCTTTCACAGAATATTACCTTGCTCAAACTCCATAATTTTGCACAGAATCCTTGTATAGCCTTTCTGATAACTTTTTCTTTAAGTTCTGTTTTTCTTATTTAAATAGACTTTTATAATAACCACAAGAATGTTATTTGCATTTTAAATTGCTCTCATTGTAATTGTTGAAAAGAATAAAAAGGCACAATACTGTGACATAGGAGAAAGAAAAAACTTATTACAACATTTTGGTCTGGCGTGGACCACTATTTGTGTATTAAAAGTCCTGTTTTCTTTTAGATTCTGAAGGATGGTGAGGAGCAGGTGGAGGTGAGAATTGCAGCATACCTCTCTCTTGTTCCATGCGCAACAGACGATCAAGACTTCTTCAGCCAGATCAAAACTCTCTTAGAAAAGGAAGAGGTCAATCAAGGTGTGGAAAACAATATTATTTTTTCATTGTATGTAATTCAAATATCAAAACCATGACTTTACTGAAGAGGTTGGTGCTCAAATACATGTATATTAAAATGGAATAAATACGTATGTGCTAACCTGTCTTGTTCGTAAAAATCTATGAGTTTTTTTTGGCATGGCCTCCTGTAGAATTTTCTGAAAGGCATTCAACTACCTTGACATGTAGATATTATGCACTTTATATGAAGCAGTAAACCCATCTTGGCCATTCAATGTAGGGATTGGAGAATGTTTGGTCCTTTGCCCAATAATCAAGTATCATGTTACATAAGTGTTCAGCTGCTATTCTAGCAGGGCCTGTAATGTGCCTTTACATCAGAGATGGGCAAACCTGTGGCCCACCAAAGGTTTTCATGCGGCTTGCCAAGATCAAGTCATATACAGTGGACCCCCGGTTAACGATTTTAATCCGTGCAAGAGGGATAATTGTTATGCGAAATAATCGTTATGCGAATGAATTTTCCCCATAAGAAATAATGGAAATAAAATTAATCCGTGCAAGACGCCCAAAAGTATGAAAAAAAATTTTTTTTACCACATGAAATGTTAATTTTAATACACACAAACTGAAAAAGGCATGCACAATTACATGACACTTACTTTTATTGAAGATCTGGTGATGATTGATGGGATGGGAGGAGGGGAGAGCATTATCTTCTTACTGTTTAGAAGGGGAATCCCCTTCCATTACGACTTGAGGTAGCAAGTCCTTTTCCGGGGTTACTTCCCTTCTTCTTTTAATGCCACTAGGACCAGCTTGAGAGTCACTGGACCTCTGTCGCACAACAAATCTGTCCATAGAGCTCTGTACCTCCCGTTCCTTTACGATTTGTCTAAAATGGGCCACAACATTGTCATTGAAATAGTCACCAGCACGGCTTGCAACAGCTGTGTCAGGGTGATTTTCATCTATAAAGGTTTGCAGTTCAACCCACTGTGCACACATTTCCTTAATCTTTGAAGTAGGCACAATGGATTCCACAACTGGCATAGGCTTCTCAGGGTTAGCCCCAAACCCTTCAAAATCTTTCTTAATTTCCATACTAATTCTCACCCTTTTTACCACAGGGTTGGCACTAGAAGCTTTCTTGGGGCCCATGGTCACTTATTTTCCAGAAACAGCACCGAAAACACTGTAATAATACGAAATATTCCGAGTGTATGCTTGGATGTTACCGCGGAGGCTGGCTGGTAAACAATGGGACGGGCGGCACATGTGAGGGCACATTGGACGCGTCTCGGACGAAAATCGGTGAGCGGGTTTTTAATCGGTATGCGCGGCAAAAATTTTGCGATAAAAGTAAGCGGTATGCGGAAAAATCGCTATGTGATGCCATCGTTATGCGGGGGTCCACTGTACTCACATATATGCAGCTGAATGAGCAAAACTTTGTTCGTTTTCCTCTGTTGAAAACATGAGCTGTTACACAAGCATTATCAGACAAGTACAGTTCCCAGTTGATGGCTTTAGAAGTTTCCCAATCCTGCTCTACATTGTGGCTTGAAATGAAAAAAAAAAAGCTCTTAACTTTAAAACCCAGTCTTAGGGAAATAATAATTCTTTTTATTAACATAGCAGCCATTTCCTACTAAGGCAGGGTGACCTGAAAAAGAAGAAACAATATAGTGTTAATGTTGCAGTTTAAAAACTGTAGTGTAAAGCACCCTTCTGGCAAGACAGTGATGGAGTGAATGATGGTGAAAGTTTTTCTTTTTCGGGCCACCCTGCCTTGGTGGGAATCGGCCAGTGTGATAATAAAAAAAATATAAATAATTTAGATTTTTATACAGGAGGGGTTACTAGCCCATTACTCCTGGCATTTTAGTCACCTCTCATGACACATGTCTTACAGAGGAAACATGACTCACGAAATCGTAATGACACGATTGCAAACAAACCATACCACGCCGCTAACGTGACGGTCTGGAGTTTTGAGACTCTGATCCGGGTTCTAACCCCGCCCATGGTATGGTTTTTTTTTTTTACAGAGGAAATTCTTTTCCACTTCTTGATGGTGAAGTAGAACAAAATTCTTCCTCCGTAAGCCATGCATGTCGTAAGAGGCGACTAAAATGCCGGGAGCAAGGGCCTAGTAACCCCTTCTCCTGTATAAATTACTAAATTTAAAGAGAGAAACTTTCATTGTTCTTTTTGGGCACCCTGCCTTGGTTGGATACGGCCAGTTTGTTGAAAAAAAAAATGAAGAGAAACTCTGGTTTTTCTTTTTGGATCACCCTGCTTCAGTGGGATATGGCTGGTTTGTTAAAAAAGAGGAAGAAGATATATAAGTTATGATTTTCATACAAGTTTGACAGTACTGAAGATTTAAGAATAGTGTGAGCATGAAGCACACCACAAGTAAATGAATTCATCAGTAGGTGAGGAGCATAGTACAATGTTAGTGGGTTTGTGTCAGCCATCTTTGATATTGTTTTGATGTCACCTTTGCACCATTTGTAACATTTCTGGTGTATTTTTAAATGTTTATACAGTAATGTATTTTTTTTTTTTTTTTAACACACTGGCCGATTCCCACCAAGGCAGGGTGGCCCGAAAAAGAAAATCTTTCACCATCATTCACTCCATCATTGTCTTGGCAGAAGGGTGCTTTACACTACAGTTTTTAAACTGCAACTTTAACACCCCTCCTTCAGAGTGCAGGCACTGTACTTCCTATCTCCAGGACTCAAGTCTGGCCTGCCGGTTTCCCTGAATCCCTTCATAAATGTTACTTTGCTCACACTCCAACAGCACGTCAAGTATTAAAAACCATTTGTCTCCATTCACTCCTATCAAACACGCTCACGCATGCCCGCTAGAAGTCCAAGCCCCTCGCACACAAAACCTCCTTTACCCCCTCCATCCAACCTTTCCTAGGCCAATCCCTACCCCGCCTTCCTTCCACTACAGACTGATATACTCTTGAAGTCATTCTGTTTCGCTCCATTCTCTCTACATGTCTGAACCACCTCAACAACCCTTCCTCAGCCCTCTGGACAACAGTTTTGGTAATCCCCCACCTCCTCCTAACTTCCAAACTACGAATTCTCTGCATTATATTCACACCACACATTGCCCTCAGACATGACATCTCCACTGCCTCCAGCCTTCTCCTCGCTGCAACATTCATCACCCATGCTTCACACCCATATAAGAGCGTTGGTAAAACTATACTCTCATACATTCCCCTCTTTGCCTCCAAGGACAAAGTTCTTTGTCTCCAGAGACTCCTAAGTGCACCGCTCACCCTTTTCCCCACATCAATTCTATGATTCACCTCATCTTTCATAGACCCATCCGCTGACACGTCCACTCCCAAATATCTGAATACATTCACCTCCTCCATACTCTCTCCCTCCAATCTGATATCCAATCTTTCATCACCTAATCTTTTTGTTATCCTCATACCTTACTCTTTCCTGTATTCACTTTTAATTTTCTTCTTTTGCACACCCTACCAAATTCATCCACCAACCTTTGCAACTTCTCTTCAGAATCTCCCAAGAGCACAGTGTCATCAGCAAAGAGCAACTGTGACAACTCCCACTTTATGTGTGATTCTTTATCTTTTAACTTTACACCTCTTGCCAAGACCCTCGCATTTACTTCTCTTACAACCCCATCTATAAATATATTAAACAACCATGGTGACATCACACATCCTTGTCTAAGGCCTACTGTTACTGGGAAATAATCTCCCTCTTTCCTACATACTCTAACTTGAGCCTCACTATCCTCGTAAAAACTCTTCACTGCTTTCAGTAACCTACCTCCTACACCATACACCTGCAACATCTGCCACATTGCCCTATTATCCACCCTGTCATACGCCTTTTCCAAATCCATAAATGCCACAAAAACCTCTTTAGCCTTATCTAAATACTGTTCACTTATATGTTTCACTGTAAACACCTGGTCCACACACCCCCTACCTTTCCTAAAGCCTCCTTGTTCATCTGCTATCCTATTCTCCGTCTTGCTCTTAATTCTTTCAATAATAACTCTTCCATACACTTTACCAGGTATTCTCAACAGACTTCTCCCCCTATAATTTTTGCACTCTCTTTTGTCCCCTTTGCCTTTATACAAAGGAACTATGCATGCTCTCTGCCAATCCCTAGGTACCTTACCCTCTTCCATACATTTATTAAATAATTGCACCAACCACTCCAAAACTATATCCCCACCTGCTTTTAACATTTCTATCTTTATCCCATCAATCCCGGCTGCCTTACCCCCTTTCATTTTACCTACTGCCTCATGAACTTCCCCAACACTCACAACTGGCTCTTCCTCACTCCTACAAGATGTTATTCCTCCTTGCCCGATACACGAAATCACAGCTTCCCTATCTTCATCAACATTTAACAATTGTATTGTATATTGTAATAAACAGAATAGAGGAAATCAGCTCTAATATACATTATTTAGGTATGCATGCTGGTCAGAGAGCCCGTTGCAAGTGCAAGTTGTTGGTAAACGAGTACGTCGCTAAATGAGGAGAGGCTGTATTCTAGAAAAAATGTTAAATTTGTATGGGTGATACAGATCCTGGGGATGGGTAGTAAGTTTAATGCAAGGAAGGAAAATATAGCTCTTTTTCCTTTGATCAAGAGCCTTCCACCAACATCAAGGCCTTATGACAGTGTGAAATTTTATATTTCTTGTTTAAGAAGACTGTTGATCACTGTGTTCTTCCACAGTTGGTTCCTACATCTGGACACACATACGCAACTTAGCAGAGCAGCCGGGCATTAGTGAGCACAACCGCTGGCTGGCCAAGCTCATGGCCCAACACACTTTGCAAGACAAATTTAACACCAATGCCTTTCGTTCCTCCAGAAACTACCGCTACACACACTTTAGTGAGATGGTGAGTACTTTTCAACATTACAGTTTCATAACTGGAAATCCTTTTCATTTTTTTATTGTAAATATTTATTTTGTACACCAGTTTTATGTTTTCTTTAATTGTCAACATTAGCAACCACTTATATACAGTATACAGGAGGGCCTCACTCTACAGTGCTTTGCTTTACAGCATTTTGCTAATGCAGCAGTTTTCAATTATATCCATTCTTCATTTATTCAAACTTCCTACAATAATTGCATTCACCACTCACTATAAACTAAGGACAAAAAATTTTTAGGGTAAATAAATAATTAGGTCTAGCTCTATTGCTCACTTAATACATGATAGCGTAAACATGTTATCAGGCATTTATATGTAATTGAAAGTGAAAAAGTTTTACTTTACAGAACCTAACCTGCTGGGTAAGTGGGGCCCTCCTGTAGTAGACTTACAGCAGTGTTTCATGTGTTTTATGCTTTTGAAGTTATTGTGTTGGAGTAGGTTAAAAAAAAAGGCATATAATATCGAGAAAGAAAAAAAAATTGGATGAGAGTTGGTGAGTTCATGAAATACAGGTTTTATATAAACATAAGAAGAATGGAGAAGGTTGAAACTCATTTGCAGCTATTGTTCTTTTTATATTCATGGGGAAATGCTGAACTCATAGAAATCATATAGCACTTGGAGAATGGGAGGTAATCAGGTTTGATCCAAGGTGAACGTAGCTCCAATTCTTGATGGACCATGTATAATTAGTATGCCTTAAAGGCTTTTCCCCATTTTAGGTCCCTGAAAAAGAATAAGGAGTCATTGATTTAAACAAACATGAATTGTTGTCTATGCATGCAATAAGCTGAATTAAAATCTTTCAGCTGAATGTTGCTGGCAGCTTAGATGGTGACATCATCTTCACTCCGGACTCTTATCTCCCACGACATGCAGCACTCAACCTAACTCTAGATCTAACTGATAGGTCTATCAATGTCTTTGAGTTTGGTGGTGACTTCAGTGGCTTGGAAAAATACATTGAAAGATTTTTTGGTAAAGGTGGATATTTTGAAAATGAGGGAATTCAGAAAGCAATAGAAAGCCTCCGGCCAAAGAGAGATATTCACGATGGAAAGATTCAAGAATTCCAGAGGCTTTATGACAAGGCAAAAACAGTGAATGAATTAGAATTAAGCAAGGAAGAGGAAGAAGCAAGAGCCTCTCTCTATCTCAGAATCTTTGGTAATGAAGTGGTCTTCTTAGACAATGCTCTTCAGTCTAATCCATTTCAGTTTTTGCAGCAGCTTGTCAGCGAGTTCTCATCCCCAAAGTCATTCCAGGTAAAACTGCTCATTTTTTGTTTATCCATAGCAGAATTTTCATTATTTTATTTCAGTACGGATAAATACTTTTGAACTGTTTAAAGAGCGGGTCATGTCGGGTTGGATGCTCAGAGGATAAGTGTTGATCCACCTGGCATCAGTGGATTTCCAAATATTTATTTTTTTTTTTTATTATCACACCGGCCGATTCCCACCAAGGCAGGGTGGCCCGAAAAAGAAAAACTTTCACCATCATTCACTCCATCACTGTCTTGCCAGAAGGGTGCTTTACACTACAGTTTTTAAACTGCAACATTAACACCCCTCCTTCAGAGTGCAGGCACTGTACTTCCCATCTCCAGGACTCAAGTCCGGCCTGCCGGTTTCCCTGAATCCCTTCATAAATGTTACTTTGCTCACACTCCAACAGCACGTCAAGTATTAAAAACCATTTGTCTCCATTCACTCCTATCAAACACGCTCACGCATGCCTGCTGGAAGTCCAAGCCCCTCGCACACAAAACCTCCTTTACCCCCTCCCTCCAACCCTTCCTAGGCCGACCCCTACCCCGCCTTCCTTCCACTACAGACTGATACACTCTTGAAGTCATTCTGTTTCGCTCCATTCTCTCTACATGTCCGAACCACCTCAACAACCCTTCCTCAGCCCTCTGGACAACAGTTTTGGTAATCCCGCACCTCCTCCTAACTTCCAAACTACGAATTCTCTGCATTATATTCACACCACACATTGCCCTCAGACATGACATCTCCACTGCCTCCAGCCTTCTCCTCGCTGCAACATTCATCACCCACGCTTCCAAATGACACTTAAAATTTCTAAAGGACATATGCTTGGTAGCCTGCTACTTATGAATGTACAAATGTGCCCACAATGCTCAGGATTTTTATGCCTACCAAGGCTTTGATGTTGGCCAACTTTTAATTATAATTATACAATTGTTTTCTTGATCTGCAACTGAGCTCTTCTGCAGCACACCCAGGTTGAACACTTCTTTAAGATATTTTGGTTTTAAAATCACTCGACAATACAAATTATTAGATTCCTGTTTCATTATTATAGTATTAGGCTCTCATCTTAAGTTTGGTTTCTACCTACACCATGGTAGGATTGCTAAGTGGTTTGTCAGATCCCAAATGAAGAATGCCAAGTTTTAATGAATAAAAATAAAATTGTGTTAAGGAGTTGATGAACTACAGAGGCCTCCACTTCTTATACCAGCTGTCCCATCTCTGTTTGAGCGATGCTCCAACAACTGGGAATGTTGATATTTCCTACTGAAAAATGCAGTTTTCCTGTTAGAGAAAAGTGAAGGCAGAAGGGACTAAACTGAAGTAAAAAGTGGTAGGAAGGTCCAGTACTGGCACACACAGGTGAAACTCAAGTGGTTCAATGAACCCAAAGCAGTAATTCATTTTTTATGAAATAAAGGAATGGGTATGAAAATATTTATTTCCAGTAAATACACTACACAGTTGTTATAAGAGGTGATACGTTATACAGATTTAATGGCAAGGCTTAAGGTTATGCAAAGGATTTCAGGCAGCCTTAAAACTAACTCATAACAGCTGAACAATGTGTCAAAGCATAGATATGAACACTTGGTATATTTAAAATTTTATATAAAACTTTCTTCTTCTTTCAACACACCGGCCGTATAACACCGAGGCAGGGTGGCCCAAAAGGAAAAACAAAAGTTTCTCTTTTCACATTTAGTAATATATACAGGAGAAGGGGTTACTAGCCCCTTGCTCCTGGCATTATAGTCGCCTCTTACAACACGCATAGCTTACGGAGGAAGAATTCTGTTCCACTTCCCCATGGAGATAAGAGGAAATAAAGAACAAGAACTAGTAAGAAAATAGAAGAAAACCCAGAGGGGTGTGTGTATATATGCTTGTACATGTATGTGTAGTGTGACCTAAGTGTAAGTAGAAGTAGCAAGACGTACCTGAAACCTTGCATGTTTATGAGAGAGAAAAAACACCAGCAATCCTACCATCGTGTAAAATAATTACAGGCTTTCATTTTACATTCACTTGGCAGGATGGTAGTACCTCCCTGGGCGGCTGCTGTCTACCAACCTACTACCTAGCTTTATATAAAATGTCATAACAATATTTGCAGTAATTAATACTACTGAAATGAAATAAAATTTTGATTTTTTTTTTTTTTTTTTCAACAAGTCTGCCATCTCCCACCGAGGCAGGGTGACCCAAAAAAGAAAGAAAATCCCCAAAAAAGAAAATACTTTCATCATCATTCAACACTTTCACCACACTCACACATTATCACTGCTTTTGCAGAGGTGCTCAGAATACAACAGTTTAGAAGCATATACGTATAAAGATACACAAGATATCCCTCCAAACTGCCAATATCCCAAACCCCTCCTTTAAAGTGCAGGCATTGTACTTCCCATTTCCAGGACTCAAGTCCGACTATATGAAAATAACCGGTTTCCCTGAATCCCTTCACTAAATATTACCCTGCTCACACTCCAACAGATCGTCAGGTCCCAAGTATCATTCGTCTCCATTCACTCCTATCTAACACGCTCATGCACACTTGCTGGAAGTCCAAGCCCCTCGCCCACAAAACCTCCTTTACCCCCTCTTTCCAACCCTTTCGAGGACGACCCCTACCCCTCCTTCCTTCCCCTATAGATTTATATGCTTTCCATGTCATTCTACTTTGATCCATTCTCTCTAAATGACCAAACCACCTCAACAACCCCTCTTCTGCCCTCTGACTAATACTTTTATTAACTCCACACCTTCTCCTAATTTCCACACTCCGAATTTTCTGCATAATATTTACACCACACATTGCCCTTAGACAGGACATCTCCACTGCCTCCAACCGTCTCCTCGCTGCTGCATTTACCACCCAAGCTTCACATGCATATAAGAGTGTTGGTACTACTATACTTTCATACATTCCCTTCTTTGCCTCCATAGATAACGTTTTTTGACTCCACATATACCTCAACGCACCACTCACCTTTTTTCCCTCATCAATTCTATGATTAACCTCATCCTTCATAAATCCATCCGCCGACACGTCAACTCCCAAGTATCTGGAAACATTCACTTCTTCCATACTCCTCCTCCCCAATTTGATATCCAATTTTTCTTTATCTAAATCATTTGATACCCTCATCACCTTACTCTTTTCTGTGTTCACTTTCAACTTTCTACCTTTACACACATTCTCAAACTCATCCACTAACCTTTGCATACCTGGACATCTAGTGGTGAGAGTTGGTAAAGAAGTATAAATGTTGATTTGGTCTGTCTTAACAGGCTGCTATTGATATACTGGACTATAGAACATTTAATCTGTGCAAAAGTGTGAGTGTTTTGAATGGAAATTTAATGGGTGATCATTCTAATGGAAGATTATTGTTGGGTAACAGTGTATTTTGGGTGATTACAGCTGTTATAGATCCCAAAAGCAGATACCATAAGTGAGGAAGGGATAGATTAGAGTGTGACATACTGAATAGTATATATATTATGTATTTTTAGCTTTATTCCCAAACAGCGTATGAAATTTTTTTATAAATACTGAGAGTAAGTTTGTTGGCTAGCACCTAAGTAGATACACTTAGAAACTATTATGAACTAGGCCTAAGGTAGTGAACTAGGCTATTTGCTATTCGTCATATGTGTACCTCAATGGTTTTTTCCAATACTGCAGGAATTTAAAAAATTCTGTTTGCAGGCAACATAACTTTAATCATCTTAAATACATATCCTATTGTCCTCAACAGCACAGGTAACACTGATATCGAAATTATATCTACGTGGATGACAACAAACAAACTCACACTCAATATTGATAAAATCTTTTACGTAAAGTTTGGGAACAAAGCTAAAAATATTACTTTAAACATACTGATGCTGTAGATAATGCATCAAAAAAAAAAAAAAAAGAGTATAAATTCCTTGTTGTACACCTTGACAAGTAAACTTAGCTAACACATCCAACTCTATAAGAAAATATTTAAGACAGTGGGCATTCATTCAAAAATATGCTGTTGTGTTCCAGAAACATTATTCTCCCTTTGCTACCTGCTAAGCTATCCTTACCTCACATGAGGTAGATGCACAACAGTAGATCACCTTAAACTTGTTGTCTATCATCAAAAATCTGCTGTTAGAATGATCACTCAATCAGATTCTAGACAACACTCACCATCTTATTCAAAAGTATTAATGTGTTAATCATACAAAATATTCAGATTTATTGCTGTGCATACTATGATTATAGAACAGTCAATTTTAGCACTGATTCAGTGCTCAGACTTTTCTTGGAGAGCTTCAGCAGAATATACAGACAACACAACCAGCAAATATCTCTAATATATCTCGTGTTCAGCTTAATCTGTTCAGAAGCTTCAAGCAAATTATAAAGCCAAAAGTATGGAACTCACTGCCTAAGGATGCAAAAAGTTTCAGTTCTTCTAATTGCTTTAAAACTCTTGTTAAAAATACACCCTAAATCTCATGTGATTTTTGCGTTGATTTCAGATAATTAATGTCTATTGTAATCTGCTGACCTGACCTAACTGTCATTCATGCTCAGGGACTGTAGTCACCACATATTTTGGCCACCTACTCATTAACTTATCCAAAGTTGACAGTCCAGTTTCATCTATTATCTCAACATATGTCAGTCTTAGCCTTCAACAGTCAAAACCTTACATATGTATTGTTTAATTTTTTCATAGTTTTAAGTCCTACTGATTAGTCACAGTTTTAACATTCGTGAAATGTTTTGTATAATCAGTAGCTTTTCACATAACTTGTACCTTTCTGTAACTATTATAAGCCCTTTTTGGGAATAAAGTTTTTTTTCATTTTTAATTATACTTGAGTTCATAAAAAGTGTTTCCTAAAGCAGTAGTCAGATTGATAAACGGAGCTTAATTATTAAATATTAAATGCTAATTGTATTGTCTGTTTGGAAAGTCAGTAATAATTATAAATACAATATGTATCTTTCTTCATTTAGAATTCCTTAGATTATTTAATTGGCACATAGTTACTTAACCTCTTTTTTTTATATAGATTGTGAACCAGGAGCTCCTGAGTACAACGTTACTGGGTTTCCCTCTTAGGATGAAAGTCAATGCTACAGGATCTGTAACATTTAGTCAAACTGGAAAAATTGACATGAAAGACACACACAAGATTCTTCTGGAAGGCAAAATATCACCTTCTGCAGTTCTGGCTATGGATGAAACACTCATGGTTGATGGATACATTTGCTCCAGTGGAATCAGGCGAAGAACAACCCATCTAGCTCGCTCAGATTTTGGTGGGAGATTTTCACTAGAAAACGGACAGATCGTTGATGTACAGTTTGATGTTCCTGGAACTGAGGTGGCAACAGTAACTTCATCATTAAAAGTTTCGCTGTTCAAAAATCTGGAAAAGGACTGGGAAGAGGAAAGAGCTGAGTCACCACATGTCAAGCAGAAGCACTGCTCACCGGAGAGTATAAGTAATATTATTGGTCTGCAAGTATGCTACTCTCACAATTACGGCACTCGCACTTTTAATGCAGATGTTGTCACTGAACCACATGAAACAGAAGTTACAGTGACTAAAACTGATACATTTGATAACTTTATATTCTCATATAAAAAGACAGACAATACTGTTGAAGCTCTCTTTGACACTCCAGGATCTTCCATTGACAGAAGAATGAACATCCAAGTTGGTATCAAACCAGAAGGTGCTGAAGGTTATCTTGTAATACCAGGAAAGGGTATTGAAGGACAATATGAGAATTCTGAAACGTTAAAAAAAATAAGCCTAAAATATCGTAAAAATTCCAAGCTGCAAGGAGAATTTGAGATCTCTCTCCAGAGTATTACAGAAGGAATAAATACCAAATATTCTCCTAAGTTTCTTTTATTTCTGGAGAATGTCGTTCATGTAAATGTAAGCGGCTCTCTCGTAAGAGGTACAGATGTCTTCAGAGCAGAGGGAAGCGTCATGTCCAGCTTCCAGACAGTACCGGCAGAAGTCCTAGGTACTGTAATTGCTAAACTAATTAATAATAGTAACAATAAGTCCTTATTTCAGATTCATATCCATATGGTGCTCAGAGATACATTTTAATTACAATAATTCAGTTATGCAAGGTGACACACAGTACTGATTCTCAAATATAATAAAGCTAGTCATTATTCACTACTTATCAACAGTATATACATAAGGGATGTATTTCCCACAGTGGATATACACTGAGGATAATGGTGTGTGTGTGCGCATGATTGTGCATACATAAGCACACAAGTAAATGCGTGTGTGAGTGCATACACGTGGGTGGGTGGGTGTGTGTGTGTGAATGTATGTATGTATGTATTACAGGTGTACTGGTAAATGGTGCTATTTACCTTTGCATAAAATATAATAAGTTATGCCACTATATGGATGTAATATTGGCTAATATATTAAGAATTAGGCCATGCAAAGCTTGTTCCATTATATAAAGTTTATTGAAGAAATTAAATGAGCCTCAGTTTTCAACAGCGAGAACATTATTGAAAACTCTACCGTTGACATTAAGCAAATCATCTGTTACAGCCTTACAGTATATAACATTATTGACAATAAGAGCCATCAAGGAACTTAATCATATTGTGCACATTAAGCAAGTCTCTTAAATGTCACTGTGACAGACTCTCAGTTTGTTCAGCAATCATACACAGAGCCAGATTAAGATTTTGTAGGCCCCTGGGTTACAGGTACTGTGATGGCCCCCAGTGACATTTTCAAAACAAAACAAAGATAAAGAAATATTAATTTTATTTTTATAAAGGCTAATCACAATTAAAACTCAAATATTTGCTTTGGAAAAAAATTGTGAACACTTTTCACCTGATCTCTGGAGGCCCTCCAGCTGGCAAAGGGCCCTGGGCTACAGCCCCTAAAGCCCATGCCTTAATGCAACCCTGATCCTACACACTAGTTTCCCAACATAAAATTGTAATATTGACAGTGTTGTGGTATGTTTAGGTACCATTAATGAAAATAAGTTTTAAAATGTAGGTAAACGCTTGGGAAATTGAGCAGTAATTACACCCAGCGTATCGTTACCCCACTGATTTCATCACTGATTATGTTAACATAATATACACTATAGAGATATCAGTATTTACCATAGAGGAAACAAGATCATAGCTGCTTGGTAGAAACCTGACAAAAGACAACAAATGAACATCTCCATTAATACAGAACTTGAACAAAAAATAATTGGAGAAGTAGAAACATGCCACTTAGTGGCATACTTCACCATTACCATTCATGAGAGGTACCAAATATAGTGCACGTAACATTTTCAAACTGTGAACTCAAAGCAGTGATTAATTACAGTACTTCCTCAAGGGAGGTTTCATGATGCTAGTGAGGGGCTCTTGATCCAAGGAATTGGGCCTGTGCTCTAATTCCTTGAATTAAGTCTGAATGCCTTTCATTCTTCCAGGTGTTGCATGACCTCTGTGGGCTTAGTGCTCCCCCATGAATGTAAAAATAATCATAATAATAATAATGATAATGATAATAATTACGGTATTAGATTTTTTTTCTTTTTTCAACAAGTCGGCCGTCTCCCACTGAGGCAGGGTGACCCAAAAAAGAAAGAAAATCCTCGAAAAGAAAATACTTTCATCATCATTCAGCACTTTCACCTCACTCACACATAATCACTGTTTTTGCAGAGGCGCTCAGAACACAACAGTTTAGAAGCATATACGTATAAAGATACACAACATATCCCTCCAAACTGCTAATATCCTGCAAAACCCCTCCTTTAGAGTACAGGCATTGTACTTCCCATTTCCAGGACTCAAGTCTGGCTATATTCATATATATTTTACAGCTTCGTGGGAGCACAGTGGTGGTGAGCACAAGGTTGCTGCTAAGCTCACTTTAGGACAGATGTTTAGCTCCGCCACGGGAACCCTCTTCACTAGCCCTGAGAAAATGATGGTACAGGCTACGTGTGAATATGGCACAAACCCTGCTCAGCCTCATGTGTTGTCTCTAACAATAGATTCATCTCAAGTAGTGGAAAATGAAGAACCCACAACTCAGGGTTATCTGTCTATTCAGGTAAGTTGCAAGGAATGGAAAAATGCAAAAGAGTGATAATTGCTGTGGCTGGAACAGTTCACAGATAACCCTCACTTGAAAAGGTAACCTTATGATGATGTTTCAGTCTGTCCTGGACCATTGGGATTTGACAATGGTCCATGACAGACCAGAGCACATGCTAGTGGTTTTCTTTATGCTTAACAATGTTTTATGACATGTAAACAACACTTTGTATACTTCAGAAAGAAATAAAGTTTGTTTGTCTGTCTGTTTGAAAAGTATCAATGTAAGGGTTCTTTTCCGAAGTTTTTTTTTTTTTTTTTTTTTTTTTTCAAAAAGGTAAGTTGTAATTTTTGCTGGTGTCTTTTTTCTGTCTCATAAACATGCAAGATTTCAGGTAAGTCTTGCTACTTCTACTTATGCTTAGGTCACATTAAACATACATGTGCAAGCATATATATATATATATACCCCTCAAGTGTTTTCTTCTATTTTCTTACTAGTTCTTGTTCTTGTCTATTTTCGCTCATTTCCATGGGGAAGTGGAACAGAATCCTTCCTCCATAAGTGATATGTTGAAAAGATTAGTCAAAGGAACTTAGCTTACCTTTGGCTAATCTTTTCAACATTTTTTTTTAAACAAGTCGGCCGTCTCCCACCGAGGCAGGGCGGCCCAAAAAGAAAGAAAATCCCCAAAAAGAAAATACTTTCATCATCATTCAACACTTTCCCCTCACTCACACATAATCACTGTTTTTGCAGAGGTGCTCAGAACACAACAGTTTAGAAGTATATAGGTATAAAGATACACAACATATCCCTCCAAACTGCTAATATCCCGAACCCCTCCATTAGAGTGCAGGCATTGTACTTCCCATTTCCAGGACTCAAGTCCGGCTATATAAAAATAACCGGTTTCCCTGAATTTTTTTTTTTTTTTTTAACGAGTCGGCCATCTCCCACCGAGGCAGGGTGACCCAAAAAAGAAAGAAAATCCACAAAAAGAAAATACTTTCATCATCATTCAACACTTTCACCACACTCACACATAATCACTGCTTTTGCAGAGGTGCTCAGAATACAACAGCTTAGAAGCATATACGTATAAAGATACACAACATATCCCTCCAAACCGCCAATATCCCAAACCCCTCCTTTAAAGTGCAGGCATTGTACTTCCCATTTCCAGGACTCAAGTCCGACTATATGAACATAACCGGTTTCCCTGAATCCCTTCACTAAATATTACCCTGCTCACACTCCAACAGATCGTCAGGTCCCAAGTATCATTCGCCTCCATTCACTCCTATCTAACACGCTCATGCACGCTTGCTGGAAATCCAAGCCCCTAGCCCACAAAACCTCCTTTACCCCTCTTTCCAACCCTTTCGAGGACGACCCCTACCCCTCCTTCCTTTCCCTATAGATTTATATGCTTTCCATGTCATTCTACTTTGATCCATTCTCTCTAAATGACCAAACCACCTCAACAACCCCTCTTCTGCCCTCTGACTAATGCTTTTATTAACTCCACACCTTCTCCTAATTTCCACACTCCGAATTTTCTGCATAATATTTACACCACACATTGCCCTTAGACAGGACATCTCCACTGCCTCCAACCATCTCCTCGCTGCTGCATTTACCACCCAAGCTTCACATCCATATAAGAGTGTTGGTACTACTATACTTTCATACATTCCCTTCTTTGCCTCCATAGATAACGTTTTTTGACTCCACATACACCTCAACGCACCACTCACCTTTTTTCCCTCATCAATTCTATGATTAACCTCATCCTTCATAAATCCATCCGACGAAACGTCAACTCCCAAGTATCTGAAAACATTCACTTCTTCCATACTCTTTCTTCTTTCTTTCAACACACCGGCTGTATCCCACCGAGGTGGGGTGGCCCAAAGGAAAAAACCAAAGTTTCTCCTTTCAAATTTAGTAATATATACAGGAGAAGGGGTTACTAGCCCCTTGCTCCCGGCATTTTAGTCGCCTCTTACAACACGCATGGCCTACGGAGGAAGAATTCTGTTCCACTTCCCCATGGAGATAAGAGGAAATAAACAAGAACAAGAACTAGAAAGAAAATAGAAGAAAACCCAGAGGGGTATGTATATATACGCTTGTACATGTATGTGTAGTGTGACCTGAGTGTAAGTAGAAGTAGCAAGACGTACCTGAAATTTTGCATGTTCATGAGACAGAAAAAAGGACACCAGCAATCCTACCATCATGTAAAACAATTACAGGCTTTCGTTTTACACTCACTTGGCAGGACGGTTGTACCTCCCTGGGCGGTTGCTGTCTACCAACCTACTACCTAGGTTCTTCCATACTCCTCCTCCCCAATTTGATATCCAATTTTTCTTTATCTAAATCATTTGATACCCTCATCACCTTACTCTTTTCTATGTTCACTTTCAACTTTCTACCTTTACACACATTCTCAAACTCATCCACTAACCTTAGCAATTTTTCTGTAGAATCTCCCATAAGCACAGTATCATCAGCAAAAAGTAACTGTGTCAATTCCCATTTTGAATTTGATTCCCCATAATTTAATCCCACCCCTCTCCCAAACACCCTACCATTTACTTCTTTTACAACCCCATCTATAAACATATTAACCATGGTGACATTACACATCCCTGTCTAAGACCTACTTTTACCGGGAAGTATTCTCCCTCTCTTCTACACACCCTAACCAGAGCCTCACTATCCTCATAAAAGCTCTATACAGCATTTAGTAACTTACCACCTATTCCATATACTTGCAACATCTGCCACATTGCTCCTCTATCCACTCTATCATATGCCTTTTCTAAATCCATAAATGCAATAAAAACTTCCCTTCCTTTATCTAAATACTGTTCACATATATGCTTCAATGTAAACACTTGATCTACACATCCCCTACCCACTCTGAAGCCTCCCTGCTCATCCGCAATCCTACATTCTGTCTTACCTCTAATTCTTTCAATTATAACCCTACCGTATACTTTTCCTGGTATACTCAGTAAACTTATTCCTCTATAATTTTAACAATCTCTTTTGTCCTCTTTCCCTTTATATAAAGGGACTATACATGCTCTCCGCCAATCCCTAGGTACCTTCCCCTCTTTCATACATTTATTAAACAAAAGTACCAAGCACTCCAACACTATATCCCCCCCTGCTTTTAACATTTCTGTCATGATCCCATCAGTTCCAGCTGCTTTACCCCCTTTCATTCTATGTAATGCCTCACGTACCTCCACCACACTTACATTCTGCTCTTCTTCACTCCTAAAAGATGGTATACCTCCCTGGCCATTGCATGAAATTACCGCCTCCCTTTCTTCCTCAACATTTAAAAGTTCCTCAAAATATTCTCTCCATCTACCTAATACCTCCCTCTCCCCATCTACTAACTCCCCTACTCTGTTTTTAACTGACAAATCCATACTTTCCCTAGGCTTTCTTAACTTGTTTAACTCACTCCAAAATTTTTTCTTATTTTCATTAAAATTTCTTGACAGTGCCTCTCCCACTCTTTCATCTGCTCTCCTTTTGTACTCTCTCACCACTCTCTTCACCCTGAATCCCTTCACTAAATATTACCTTGCTCACACTCCAACAGCTCGTCAGGTCCCAAATGCCATTTGTTTCCATTCACTCCTATCTAACATGTTCACGCACGCTTGCTGGAAGTCCAAACCCCTCGCCCACAAGACCTCCTTTACCCCCTCCCTCCAACCTTTTCAAGGACGACCCCTACGCTGCCTTCCTTTCCCTACAGATTTATACGCTCTCCATGTCATTCCACTTTGATCCATTCTCTCTAAATGACCAAACCACTTCAACATCCCCTCTTCAGCCCTCTGACTAATACTTTTATTAACTCCACACCTTATCCTAATTTCCATACTCCAAATTTCTGCATAATATTTACACCACACATTGCCCTTAGACAGGACATCCCCACTGCCTCCAACCGTCTCCTCGCTGCTGCATTCACAACCCAAGCTTCACACCCATATAAGAGTGTTGGTACTATTACTATACTTTCATACATTCCCTTCTTTGCCTCCATAGATAACGTTTTTTGTCTCCACACATACCTCAACGCACCACTCACCTTTTTTCCTTCATCAATTCTATGATTAACCTCATCCTTCATAAATCCATCCACCGACACATTAACTCCCAAGTATCTGAAAACATTCACTTCCATACTACTCCTCCCCAATTTGATATCCAATTTTTCTTTATCTAAATCACTACAAATTAGCATAGTGCCTGATAAGTGGAAAATGGCAAATGTAATACAGTAGACCCCTGGTTAACGATATTTTTTCATTCCAGAAGTATGTTTATGTGCCAGTACTGACCGAATTTGTTCCCATAAGGAATATTGTGAAGTAGATTAGTCCATTTCAGACCCCCAAACATACACGTACAAACGCACTTACATAAATACACTTACATAATTGGTCGCATTGGGAGGTGATCGTTAAGCGGGGGTCCACTGTACCTATTTACAAGGCAGGTGACAGGTCCTTAGCTTTGAACTATAGACCAATAAACCTTACCTCCATAGTGGGAACATTTATGGAATCAATAATTGCCGAAGCAATTCGTAGCCATCATGATAGGCATAAATTGATTAATGAATCTCAACACAGTTTTACAAAGGGGCGTGCCTGTCTTACGAATTTACTAACTTTTTTCACTAAGGTGTTTGAGGAGGTAGATCATGGTAATGAATATGATATTGTGTATATGGACTTCAGTAAGGCTTTCGATAGAGTTCCACATCAGAGGCTATTGAGGAAACTTAAGGCACATGGAATAGGAGGAGAAATTTTTTCCTGGGTAGAGGCATGGCTAACAAATAGGCAGCAGAGAGTTTGCATAAATGGGGAGAACTCAGAATGGGGGCACGTCACAAGCAGTGTTCCGCAGGGTCAGTGTTGGGCCCTGTGTTGTTCACAATTTACATAAACGACATAGATGAGGGAATAAATAGCGACATAAGCAAATTTGCTGATGACACCAAAATAGGCCATACAATTCAATCTAATGAGGACTCTAGAGCACTCCAGGATGATTTAAATAGACTGATGCAATGGTCGGAGAAATGGCAGATGCAGTTTAATATAGACAAATGCAAAGTTCTAAATGTTGGGCAGGAAAATAACCATGCCACATATAAACTAAATAATGTAGATCTTAATATTATGGATTGTGAAAAGGATGTAGGAGTTCTGGTTAGCAGTAATCTAAAACCAAGACAACAGTGCATTAGTGTTCGCAATAAAGCTAACAGAATCCTTGGCTTCATATCTAGAAGTATAAATAATAGAAGTCCTCAGGTTGTTCTTCAACTCTATATAACCTCGGTTAGGCCTCATTTAGATTATGCTACACAGTTCTTGTCACTGTATTACAGAATGGATATAAATGCACTGGGAAACGTACAGAGGAGGATGACAAAGTTGATCCTATGTATCAGAAATCTTCCCTATGAGGATAGACTGAAGGCCCTGAATATGCACTCTATCGAAAGGTGTAGAATTAGGGGGGATATAATCGAGGTGTATAAATGGAAAACAGGAATAAGTAAATGAGATGTAAATAGCGTGCTGAAAATTTCCCGCCAAGACAGGACTCACAGCAATAGTCTCAAGTTGGAAAAATTCAGATTCAGGAAGGATATAGGAAACCATTGGTATGGTAATAGAGTTGTGGATGAGTGGAACAAACTCCCGAGTGCAGTTATAGAAGCTAAAGCTTTGTGTAGTTTTAAAAATAGGTTAGATAAATACATGAGTGGGTGTGGGTGGGTGTGAGTTGGACCTGACAAGCTTGTGCTACTAGGCCTGATGCAGTGCTCCTTCCTTAGTGGAAGTGATCTGACTAGGTGGATCACTGAGTTAATCCAGGGGGGGAGGACATGGACCTACTTCACATGGGTCAGTAGGCCTGCTGCAGTGTTCCTTCTTTGTTATGTTCTTAAGAGGCAACTAAAATGCCAGGAGCAAAGGGCTAGTAACCCCTTTTACTGTATACATTACTAAATTTAAAAGGAGAAACTTTCAATTTCCTCTTGGGCCACCCTGTCTCGGTGGGATATGGCCGGTTTGTTGAAAGAAGTTGCAATTTTGTTTAAAAAAATCCAATTATTATTGCATGCACTATTTTAGTTTTTCACTAAAACTTCAATAATACTGTATAGAAATCATTGCAGCTAGTACCTTGTCATTCTTCTCATCCCGAGTGTTTATTTTCAGTCAAGTCAAGCTGAAGCCATCATGAATCTGGACTACAAACACCAGCCTGGACTTACAGAAGCTAACACCAATATTACAGTGCGCAGTACTAAGGTATAAATTTATCCTAATTAGTTACCCCTTTGACTGTCGGAAGCCCCTTTCTGAAACTGTCATTCTATGTCGCAAAATTTTTTGAAAAAAAAAAAAAAAATTTTTTTCTTATGAAATGATAGTGAATCTTTTCCCGATGGTAATGACACCAAAAGTACAAAATTTGGTCAAAAACTCACGGAATTATGCTCCCGCGAAGTTAGCGGTCTTGGCGACATAGACGCATCGGCGATTTTGCTGTTTGTGGCCATTTCTGTTGTTCCAGTTGACCAAACTCATACCTATTTCTTTAGAACATTTTTTCTATCAATTGAGTACAAGAAACTGCCCATTTACCAATTTGAACTACCCAATAAAGTGATCAGAAATTGACAATTTGGCCAATTTCACGCATATTAAAAAGATGCCAATTTCAAAATAGGGTCCAGAATAAACAATGTAGACTTTCTTGGCACTAAAATAAAATATCCTCTGTTCATTAGTCACATCTCTAGGCCCCTCTTATATTACTATTGCTTTCTGTTTTGATTTTTTATTCATACAAAAAATACAAAATTTACTGTTATGCAGACTACTGCATTATTGTAAAAATGGTATAAATAATATCAGTGCACTAGTAAAAGAATATTAGATTCCCCAGTTGATGTGTATTGGACATGTAGTGTGATTTGCTTACTCTTGAACATTGGTAAAAATTGAACATTTCTGCTACTTTGACCTCAATTACAAGGTCGTTTTCTTCATGAAACTAATTAAAATCATCTCTATTTCTGCAATATGTTTTCCATTTTATCACGTGAGACCCTGAAAACGAGAATACAACGATAAATACTATACAAAAATACACCTCAAAGTCGGCGTTTTAATCCAAAAAAACGGTCGTTTTTTTTTCTCATTATGCACTGCGTGCTGCAGGATTTTTTTTTTATGTGGTGCACACTGACCACACAGACCCATTCTCTCACATGTGGGCCTACCAGCTTTCTCCTGCTTGATTTGAAGCCACTAGAATTATTGAGTATATATACGTCTGAAACATTGGCTCGTAAGACGTATATATACGACCAAAACAGTCACAGGGTTAAACCACAAATTAATCTCCAACAATCAGTCAGTACAAGTTATATACATCAAGAAGTGTATTTCTCTCATTGTATACAAGCAGGCCTTGCTGTACTGTGCTTCACTGTACTGCAGGGCCTGCTGTATACACTGGCCCTGCTATTTTCAATTATACCCATTCTTCATTTATTCAGACTTCCTACATTAAATATATTCACCACTCACTATAAGCTAAGGATGAAAATATTTTAAGGTAAGTAATGTGTGTACTGTATGTTCATTTTTAGGCCTAGTTACATTGCTCACTTAATATATGATATTGTAAACATGTTGTCAAGCTATGATTCACTTTACAGCAATTTTTGCTTTACAGCAGTAGCCTGGAACCTAACCTGCTGTATAAGTGGGGCTCTCCTGTATATGCTGAAAGTTTACTTTAATCCCTATTTTAGGGATTGAAGTATTCTTGTCTGGTAGAGTAGAGTTACGTGCAGTTCCATTGCCCCAAGCATAGTGATAAGATTTAATCCTTTCAGGGTTTCGGATGTACTAGTACGACTTATGCACCAGTGTCCATGACATACTAGTACGCATAAATTCTAGCGCCTTCAAATCTAGTGAGAGAAAGCTGGTAGGCCTACATACGAAAGAATGGGTCTATGTGGTCAGTGTGAGCAGTATAAAAAAGTGGAAGATAGGTATTAATAAAGGGGATATTAATAAGGTCTTGAGGATGTCTCTCCAAGAGAGAACCCACAGTAATGGATTTAAATTAGATAAGTTTAGATTTAGAAAGGACATAGGAAAGTATTGGTTTGGAAATAGGGTAGTAGATGAGTGGAACAGTCTACCTAGTTGGGTTATTGAGGCTGGGACTTTGGGTAGTTTCAAATTTAGGTTGGATAAGTACATGAGTGGGAGGGGTTGGATTTGAGTGGGACTTTCACATCAGAGCTTATTTCTTGGGTGGCATTGAAAATTGGGATGGGCAAATGTTTTGTTAGTGGGATGAATTGTAAAGGACCTGCCTAGTATGGGCCAACAGGCCTCCTGCAGTGTTCTTCCTTTCTTATGTTCTTATGTAATGAGAAAAAAAAAACTTTGACCGTGTTTTTGGAATAAAACATAGACTTTGCACTATATTTTCGTATGGCATTTATTGTTTTATTCTAGTTTTCCTGGTCTCATTGTATAGAATTGAAGGCATATTACAGAAATTGAGATTATTTGACTGGTTTTACAATGAAAAGTACCTTGAAATTGAGCTCAAAGTAGCAGAAATGTTCGATTTTTACCAAAGTTCAAAAGTAAACAAATCATGCTAAGCGTCCAATACACGTCAACTGGTGAGTCTAATATTCTTTCACAAGTGCACTGATATTATTTATACCATTTCTGCACTAATGCAGTAGTCTGCATAACAGTAAATCTTATTTTTTTTGTGAGAATAAAAATTCAAAGTGGAAAGCAAAAAAAAATGTAAGAGGGGCCTGGGGACGTGACTAATGAACAGATAAAATGTTATTTTAGTGCCAGGAATGTCTTTCTTGTTTATTCTGGACCCTATTTGGAAATTGGCATCTTTTGAAATTTGTGTGAAATTGGCAAAATTGCTAAATTCTGACCACTGTATTGGATAGTTGAAATCGGTAAATTGGTGGTTTCTTGTACTCATTTGATAGAAAAAATGGAGTTCTAGCGAACTAGTTATGATTTTTGTCGACTAGTACATTGGAATTGGCCGACAATAGGGCTCAAAGTGGGCAAAATCGCCGATGCATAAACATTGTCAAGACCGCTAACTTCGCGAGAGCATAATTCCGTAAGTTTTCCATCAAATTTCATACTTTTGGTGTCATTATGATCGGGAAAAGATTCTCTATCTTTTCATAAGAAATTTTTTTTTTTTTTTTTTTTTTTTTTTTTTTTTTTTTTTTTTTTTTTTTTTTTTTTTTTTTTTTGAAATTTGGGGGACCCTGAGAACAAGTCTCTGAGAGGGCCTGTGGACCCTGAAAAGGTTAAACCCCAATCAGCAAAAACAATTTAATTAGAGCTAAAGGTAATACGGTTTACTGCATGAGTGGAATCACAGTTACCATATTTTACGGCATCAAAGACTCAGTTTTTTTTTTTTTCCCTAAATAATTCTCGAAAATTTACCCAATGTCTTGGAAGCTGAGGTACCATTTATCTTTTTTTTTTTTTCCAAAATTTAGCCAGTCAGAACTGGGTGGGAGGGAAGGGGGGTCATCCTCAACACTGGAGGGTCTTGTTTGCTGTAAAGTACTGTAAGTCTCCAGGGTCAATTATAATAATCTTAGCAGTTATTTAATACATGAGCTACTGCTATACATGTGTAAATGTTATAAGTAGAAGGTAAGACTTGTTATAGAAGTAAAATAGGGACATAACATTATGGGGGGTAGATAAGAATTACCCAAAACTAACTAGTAGACTCACTAGTACACCAAAAATATGCACTTTATTTCTTTAGTGTTGAATGTGTGTTACTGAGATATAGAACAAAAAGGCACAATACCGTGACTGGAGCAGCACACAAATAACCTGCACATAGAAGCTTATGACGATGTTTCAGTCCGACTTGGTCTAAGTCAGACCAAAATGTTGTCGTAAGCTTCTCTCTCCTTTGTGCGTGTTATTTGTATATTACTGAGATGTATTACACATGTGGTCAGTGTATGGTACATGCATTATAAAGATGTGGTATAAACATGAATCAAAGTTAAAACAGCCTTAATTGGCACTACAGTAAACATTCCTCATTATCAAGAGAGAGGTTCTGGAATGTGTGGTACCACTTTCTTTTATAAAATTATCCAATTTTAATCTGCCGTTGCTTAAAATATTATGCTTAATAGGACAGGATTCAAGAATGTTAAGTTGAATAAGAGTTAATATAAATTATGTTTTCTGGGTTTCTCCCCCTTATAGAAAATCTACGACTTTTATTGAAAAGGCAAAATACTAATGTATACTTAATGTTTACTTCAAGTGGCACCAGCACACATATGCTTATATTTTCGAATGATTAATAAGTCCTGTATGTGCCTCAGCTGGGATCAAGTTTAATGGCAAGGATAACTGATGAGGGAGAGACAAGAGACATGCAAGTGACAGTCACCTTTGTCAGCCCACAGTTGGATATGAACTATGCTGGTCACCTCATATACAAGGTCAGTATCATTTTTATATTTATCAAAAGCTTTTTATTATCAACACAACAAGACTGAACATGTCTGTCAGTTGCTTCAAGAAATCAAAATAAGTGATTTAATTGTATAAAATATGTTAAGTGAAATCAGACAGTAAAAACTAAAAAATTTTTTAATCTTGAATTATTACATTATTATTGTAATCAAAAAGAAGCACTAAACCTACTAGGGTCATACAGTGCTGCAATTCAGTTATTACTTATAGATTTGAACTCTACATACCAGCTCCCCCATTAATAATAAGGTTTGAATGTGAGGTTTTGCACATTGTGATTTTGTAAACCTTACATAATGTGTAGTGATTTCGTCAGCCATACATAATGTGTAGTGACTTCGTCAGCCTTACATAATGTGTAGTGACTTCGTCAGCCTTACATAATGTGTAGTGACTTCGTCAACCTCACATAATGTGCAGTGACTTTGTAAATCTCACATAATGTGTAGTGACTTTGCTAACCTCACATAATGTGTAGTGACTTTGTAAGCATCACATAATGTGCAATGAATTTGTTAATCTTACATAATGTGTAGTGACTTTGTAAACCTCACATAATGTGTAGCATTGCAACCAGTCTAACTAATATGTAAATTAAGCATTAATTATTTTGACAGATCATTAGTACCATCACAAAAGCAGACTTATTTTAGATATTAAGTACATTTTTTATTTTATTTTATTTTATTTTATTTTATTTTATTTTATTTTATTTTATTTTATTCTATTTTAATTTATTTTAAATTAATTGATTTACTAAAGTATTATGCAGAACAATATATAACAAACAGTTTCTTCTGCTAGTATACTGTACAAACTTTACTCAAGCAAATGATAAAGTAACAGAAAATTGAACTTGTAGTTCTGTTAGAGTTCAGATTAATTAACTTTGATACATTTATCAACCTTAGAACTATTACAATATATATTTGGGTGTATATATGAAGTCAGTAAATGAAAAGTAATGATATATAATTTGTATAAACCCCTCAATTGGAAATTTTTTTATAAATTAGAATAGAAGTTGTAGAAGAAAATATATATAGGTTGACAAGAAAATGTGAATTACAGAAGTAATTCTTCAGGTATCAAATAATGCCTTGCAAGCCGAGGCCGAGGTCAACCTTGGATCCCTGATGACGTCCAAGCTGTCTCTCAGCTACCTGCTTCAGGACAACCCACTGCACATACTCCTTGGCCTACATATTCAATATAATGACTTTGTAATTCAGGGTGGTTACAATGTTGACCTGAGTAAGCCTGATAAAGCTTTGGTTCTAGTGAGTATATGCATGGTATTTTTATATTAAAATAAAGAATCAGTGTATATATTGACGCTCATAAGAAGGAAGATATTTAAGGCATAACCACTGAACGATACTAAGGATTTACTGTAAATTAGATTTATATCTTTCTGTAACATGGTTAGTGGTATTGTTTACCTAGTAGACAAAGTTTACTTATATCCATATTGTGTGAATATACAATATAGGTTTGGTCAATGGAACCCTTTTAGTAAATTTTAGTTTAACATCTGAAGAATGAGGTTAGTAATTTAAATCACTTCATTGTGACTAGACAGTGTTAGATAAGGAGTGAGTGGAGGCAAATGGTTTTTATGACTTGACATGCTTTTAGAGTGAGAGCAAAGTATCATTTATGAATGGATTCAAGGAAACCAGTTAGCTGGGTTTGAGTCCTGGTGGTGGGAAGTACTGTGTCTGCCCTCTGAAAAGGGGTAGAGATATATTGGAGTTTTTGAACTGTAGTATCAGCATGCCTCTGGCAAGACAGTGATGGAGTGAATGATTATGAATATGTTTCTTCTTTTTTTGGATCACCCTGCCTTAGAAAATGGCCAGTGTGTTAAAAAAAGAAAAAGGATTCTGGTGTAGTATATGTATTCCAGACCCCTGCAGGGTTATGCTAGGTAAGATTCATGAGGAAACTGGACAGTTACCCATCCATACATATGTTAAGGTTATGGACAGTGAATACTAGTACTTATACATGACAATAAGTGGAATAAGACTAGGTTCTGTCTGCTGTTTGGACGAGATGTGAATCCCAATGAGTTACTTTATTGTGCTGAACGACTTCTCTATCACTTGTATTTTGGAAAGTTCGAACAGATGTAGAGAATGTGCTGGAAATTCTAAGTAAATGATGACTGGAGGCCCGAATCATAGGTCCAGAACCACCAGCCCAGCACCTACGACTTCACCTATCCTTACCTAACTTATCCTATTCTACCATAATGTAACCCACCCTCCAATTGGTCTCATCATACTGAGTGACAAGTCTGTGGATCCTCACCATTTCCTGATGATGTTGCAGAGGAATTAACTGCATTGATTTGTGCTGTAGTATCACTGGTTTGTATTTTTTTTTTTTTTTTTTTTTTCAAACAAGTCGGCCGTCTCCCACCGAGGCAGGGTGACCCAAAAAAGAAAGAAAATCCCCAAAAAGAAAATACTTTCATCATCATTCAACACTTTCACCACACTCACACATTATCACTGTTTTTGCAGAGGTGCTCAGAATACAACAGTTTAGAAGCATATACGTATAAAGATACACAACATATCCCTCCAAACTGCCAATATCCCAAACCCCCCCCCCCCCCCCTTTAAAGTGCAGGCATTGTACTTCCCATTTCCAGGACTCAAGTCCGACTATATGAAAATAACCGGTTTCCCTGAATCCCTTCACTAAATATTACCCTGCTCATACTCCAACAGATCGTCAGGTCCCAAGTACCATTCTTCTCCATTCACTCCTATCTAACACGCTCACGCACACTTGCTGGAAGTCTAAGCCCCTCGCCCACTAAACCTCCTTTACCCCCTCTCTCCAACCCTTTCAAGGACGACCCCTACCCCACCTTCCTTCCCCTATAGATTGTATATTTTTAATTAATTCTTATTATATTTATTCCTGTTTTTTTATGATTTGCAAATGGCAGGAACAGTATCATCTCTAGTTCTTAGATATCAGTGTATGTTTGAGTAATAATTTATGCAAAGTAATTATATAAAACTTATATATATATATATATAATCACCCATCACTCTGTAAGATGTTCAGCCACAACAAACATACATATATACATGCACATGTATATATATTATTTTTTCAACATGCTGGTCATCTATCACCAAAGCAGAGTGACCCGAAAAAGAAAAACTTTCACCATCATTCACACTATCACTGTAATGACAGTGATCTGTGTGTGTGTGTGCATGTGCGTGCATGCATGTGTGCATGCATGTGTGTGCATGCGTGTGTGTGCATGCGTGTTTGTGCATGCGTGAGTGAGTGCGTGAGTTCATGCGTGAGTACGTGCATGTGTGCGTGCGTGCATGTGTGTGCGCGTGCATGTGTGTGTGCGTGTGTGTGCGTGTGTGTGTGCGTGTGTGTGTGCGTGTGTGTGTGTGTGTGTGTGTGTGTGTGTGTGCATGTGTGCGTGTGTGTGTGCATGTGTGCGCGTGTGTGCATGTGTGTGTGTGTGTGTATCCAGTTAGTGCAAGCAACATCAAATTTCCCTCACTTTTTTGGATAGATCACCGCTGCCGTTGGACCAGCCTTTGCAGTATTGCATTTCAATGCAGATTACGACCATATGAGACCCTTCAACACATCTCTGGAAGCACACTGTGGCTATGGCAACTTAAAGGCTGGGTTCTCCACTCTCACTTCATCTGATGACAGCTGGCAGCACTTCACTGGGAAAACTGAAGTTAGTATAAGAAAAATTCATTTTGCATGTCAACATTGTTTTTTCTATTAGCAGAGATTGATTAATACTTACTGGTTTGTTTGATTCAGTAATATATACAGCCTCTCCTCAATTAATGACGGAGTTCCATTCCTAAGACCATGTCAGTCAATGAATTCATCGCTAAGTGAGGAGCATACCATAATGGTAGTGGGTTTGTGTCAACCATCACTGATATTGTTTTAATGTCACATTTGCACTATTTATAACATTTCTGGTATATTTTTAAATATATATACAGTAGTGTTCTGTATATTGAAATAAAAAGAATAAGAACATAAGAAAGAAGGAACACTGCAGCAGGCCTACTGACCCATGCAAAGCAGGTCCATGTCCCCCAACCCCGGATTAGCCCAATGACCCACCTAATCAGGTCACTTCCACTTAAGGAAGGAGCACCGCATCAGACCTAGTAGCACAAGCTAGTCAGGGCCAACTCACACCCACCCACACCCACTCATATATTTATCTACCGTATTTTTAAAGCTACACAATGTTTTAGCTTCAATAACTGTGCTTGGGAGTTTGTTCCACTCATCCACAACTCTATTACCAAACCAGTGCTTTCCTATATCCTTCCTGAATCTGAATTTTTCCAACTTTAAACCATTGCTGCGAGTCCTTTCGTGGCAGGAAATGTTCAGCATGCTGTTTACATCCCCTTTATTTATTCTTGTTTTCCATTTATACACCTCGATCATAGCCCCCCTAATTCTACGCCTTTCGAGAGAGTGCAAATTCAGGGCCCTCAATCTGTCTTCGTAGGGAAGATTCCTGATACATGGGATCATCTTTGTCGTCGTCCTCTGTACATTTTCCAGTGCATTTATATCCAATCTGTAATACGGTGACAAGAACTGCGCAGCATAATCCAAATGAGGCCTAACCAAGGATATATAGAGTTGAAGAACAATCTGAGGACTTCTATTATTTATACTTCTAGATATGAAGCCAAGGATTCTGTTAGCTTTATTGCGAACACTAATGCACTGTTGCCTTGGTTTTAGATTGCTGCTTACCAGAACTCCTAAATCCTTTTTGCAATCAGTGGTATTAAGATCTACATTATTTAGTTTATATGTGGCATGGTTATTTTCCTGTCCAACATTTAGAACTTTGCATTTGTCTATATTAAACTGCATCTGCCATTTCTCTGACCATTGCATCAGCCTATTCAAATCATCCTAAAGTGCTCTAGGGTCCTCATTAGTGTGAATTGAATTGCCTATTTTGGTGTCATCAGCAAATTTGCTTATGTCGCTATTTATTCCCTCATCTATGTCATTTATGTAAATTGTGAACAACATAGGGCCCAACACTGACCCCAGCAGAACACCGCTTGTGACGTGCCCCCATTCTGATTTTTCCCCATTTATGCAAACTCTCTGCTGCCTATTTGTCAGCCATGCCTCTACCCAGGAAAAAATTTCTCCTATTCTGTGTGCCTTAAGTTTCCTCAATAGCCTCTGATGTGGAACTCTATTGAAAGCCTTACTGAGGTCCATATACACAATATCATATTCATTACCATTGTAAAGCCGTGTTGAGATTCATTAATCAATTTATGCCTATCAAGATGGCTACAAATTGCTTCAGCATTATTGATTCCATAAATTTTCCCACTATGGAGGTAAGGCTTATTGGTTTATAGTTCGAAGCTAAAGACCTGTCACCTGCCTTGTAAATAGGTATTACATTTGCCATTTTCCACTTATCAGGCACTTTGCTAGTTTGTAGTGATATGTTGAAAAGATTAGCCAAAGGTTTGCTAAGTTCTTCTTTACATTCCTTTAACACCCTTGCAAACAGTTCATCAGCGCCTGGGGATTTGTTAGGTTTTAATTTCTCCATTTGTCTGAGGACCATGTCACTAGTTACCACAATTGTGCATAATTTATTATCGTCCCGTTCTATATATATAATCTATTATTTCAGGAATTTCGCTAGTATTTTCCTGGGTAACAACCGAGAGGAAGTAGGTATTGAGAATTTCACACATATCCTTATCACTGTCAGTGATCTGACCTAGCTTACTCATAAGTGGGCCTATCTTGTCTTTAATCTTACTTCTCTATACCTGAAAGAACCCTTTTGGGTTAGTCTTTGAATCCCTTGCGACCTTAGCCTCATCAGCTCTAATATGCATTATTTAGGTATGCATACTGGTCAGAGAGCCCATCATAAGTCTGAGGTGTCGGTAAATGAGTACTTTGCTAAGTGAGGAGAAGCTGTATTACCTCATCATTTAAGATCTGGAGCCTTACAGAAAATGCACCAAAAAAAAAAAAAGCAACCTTAGGTGAGGAACCTTAGGACAGTGTTTCAGTCTGTTATAGACCACCTTCAGGTTACATCTGTTTTGAGTTGACAGTGGCCCAGGATGGACCAGAACATCATCATGAGGTTCCTTTTCTAAGTGCGAGTTTTTTGGTGAATTCTTTGAGCCATGGTATTGTGACTTACGTATTATTCTCTACAAAAAATTTTGAACTCTATTTCCATGATTCACTCACAGATATACACTGGCTGTTATTCATTGTTTGGTATTCCTCCTGTTTATTATCATTATTACTGCATCATATGTTAAGCAGTGTGTTAAGAAAATAACATTATAATCACAGTTTTAATGTAATTAAAATGTAGGATAAAAAATATTATTTACAAATACATATATTAATAAAATAAAACATTTGATCCATTCATTGATTCAGATCTCAGTACTCTGTTATACATAAATTTTCATACACTAAAAAACAGGACTGAAAGGTCAGTACTGTGTACATGTGCTTACATACTTAAATATCTTGAAGCATCACAGTAATGTGAAAATACATGACAGTATGACCACAATTAAAACACAGCACTCACATAAATGAGTATTGCTCAGCCACTGACATAGGACTGGCACCACAGAGTAGGTCATCCTTTCATTATAATAATGGTATACAGTACAGGTAAAAAAGAGCATTTTTTTTTTTACCATCAAATGTGTCTAAAACAGCTGATAACATGTTTACACAATCATATATTAAGTGATCAGTATAGCTAAGCATAAAAAAAGTAAAATAAATGCAGAGTGCATTCAATATTTATCTTAAAATATGGCACTGTTTGCCCTTCCCTTACATAACTGCCGTACCAAAATGGTGGAAAAGCAGTAAAAGCACCATAATGAACAGTGGCTCAGTTGAATGCAAGCAAAAACATGGAACACCAAAAAGAGAGTGCTGTATATCTAGGGCCCTCTTGTACTAACAATTAGATATGTAAGGCACATGTACAACGTTAGGCATCTTTATTTCTGAAATGGGGTAACATGGAGCTAAATACTTCTCAAGGCTGAGGGACTGAGCACCTCAAAACTACTTCAAGGCTGTGAGACTGATCACATCATTATTTGTCCACTGCTTCTGCTGTCTTATATTTAGACATCACCTGTCTGTACAGTATGAACATGAGCCTAACTTTATTGTACTACATTGGCATTCACCCACCAAGTAGGGTGACCCAAAATAGTGAACATTCACCATCATCTAGTCATTATCTGTATTGGCAGAAGAGACTAAAGAACTGATTGATCAAGACCAAAGGACTGAACAACTTCTATCAATGCTAAGGGATTGAACACCTTAAAATTACCTCACTAATTCTTCCACTGTCACTAGAATAAAAGTTGTCCTTGTATTAAATTGACAAAGCCAGCACAGCAGGTGAAACATCTCGTCAATAAAGATACCCAGGTGTTGTACATGTCTTGTCAGCTTCTTGGTACTGTTTACCATTAGTGTAATGACAGGGGCAAGAATGCAGATGTAGAGTTTAATTTAAGAAAAACTGAGATGGCCAGTGAATTCTGATGATGTTACTAGTTATAAAGCAAAATATTGTAAGCAAATATATTTGAGTAGCATGGAATGTGAATACAAGAGATTTGTTAAGGTGTGTGTGTTGTTAAGCTTGAGAGGTACTGCATGGTTGCAGTGAGTCAAATAGAAATAGTAATTGAGTTAGAATAGGTTAAGGTATTTAATTGTTCATTGTTTGAGCCCCTCGCTCACAGGTAGGACTCAGGTTCACTGTCTTAATGGGTGAAACATTTGAGCAAGTCTCCTAGTAATGCTGCCCTTGTTTACCTAACATTAATAGATGCCTTTGAGTTAGCCAACTACTGTGGGTTACATACCAAGAGAGGAGTTATGAAACAAAACAAAAACAACCACATTGCTTGTCTTTTTTGAATTATCGTGGGTTGTTAACCCTCCATGGATAAGAATAAAGTCTTCTTCAGTTGATGAAAAAATTAAGTAGTTCCTGAGGATGCAAAATGGGAATGAATTCAAATATAGAAAACAGCACCAGAAAACGAAGATCAGTGATACTTCTAGTGAAATAGAAAATAAAGGGAAAGCAAATACAGACACCTGACATTGAGCAACACTTGGTATCAAGAGATATATTCTTAACCAATGTTCAATATTCAGGGAATGGAGAGGCAGCTGTGATAAAATGGATATATGTACACATTGCTTATATACATTACTTAAAACTTATTTTTTCCAGGTTAAATGGTTTGACTTGTCATATCATGTTAATCATGATCTTCTGTGGAGTGAAAGCAATAAGCATGCCAAACTTTTCGGTGGGGGGACAAGTGTTGAAGCTACCCTGCGGGTGAGTGTTACATACAGCATTTCCAATCTTGATTTCTTCTAGTAACTTTTCACAATGCACCAATAGCCTTGCTCAAACTTCACTTGTTATAATCTGCAGAGAATGTAGAAATTGTGTTGTTTATAAATAGTTACATCTTTATCCATTTACCTAACACTTTATAAATAATAATAATATGGTAAAACATTTATAATTTGTAAGTCTTTTTATGACAGACAGAAACTCTTTCATAAACATTTCTTCCTTAATTAAATTAATGTATATATCAAGGTGATATTTTCACTCTCTAGATAATAGTGTTAAAAAAGTTATAACTAAAGTTGCAAGAGCCCGTGAGCAGCATCAAGGCACCTTGAGAGAGCCATGAGCATAACTCTCCTCCAGTAGTTCCAGTAACACATCATGAATGAATTAGACACACGTGCAATGTTTGGGTATCTTTTCTTTTAAGTGACAGTACAAGTAAAGATACTTGTAAGTAAAGATACAATATGTAAACAAAGATATTTGTAAGTAAAGATACAAGATATAAAGAAAGAAGACTTGTAAGTGAAGGTACAAGATATAAACAAAGATACTTCTAAGTAAAGATACAAGATATAAACAAAGATACTTGTAGTAGGTTGGTAGACAGCAACCACCCAAGGAAGTACTACCGTCCTGCCAGATGACTGTGAAACAGAAACCTGTAACTGTTTTGCATGATGGTAGGATTGCTGGTTTCTTTTTCTGTCTCATAAACACGCTAGATAACAGGGATATCTTGATACTCCTACTTACACTTTGGTCACACTTCACAGACACGCACATGCATATATATATACATACATCTAGGTTTTTCTCCTTTTTCTAAATAGCTCTTGTTCTTCTTTATTTCTTCTATTGTCCATGGGGAAGTGGAAAAGAATCTTTCCTCCGTAAGCCATGCGTGTCGTATGAGGCGACTAAAATGCCGGGAGCAATGGGCTAGTAACCCCTTCTCCTGTAGACATTTACTAAAAAAGAGAAGAAGAAAAACTTTATAAAACTGAGATGCTTGAATGTGCGTGGATGTAGTGCGGATGACAAGAAACAGATGATTGCTGATGTTATGAATGAAAAGAAGTTGGATGTCCTGGCCCTAAGCGAAACAAAGCTGAAGGGGGTAGGGGAGTTTCGGTGGGGGGAAATAAATGGGATTAAATCTGGAGTATCTGAGAGAGTTAGAGCAAAGGAAGGGGTAGCAGTAATGTTGAAGGATCAGTTATGGAAAGAGAAAAGAGAATATGAATACACAAATAACCCACACATAAAAAAGAGAAGCTTATGACGACGTTTCGGTCCGACTTGGGCCATTGACAAAGTCACACTCCAAGTCGGACTGAAACGTCGTCGTAAGCTTCTCTCTTTTATGTGCGGGTTATTTGTGTATCGTTCCAGTCACGGTATTGTGCCTTTTTTGTTATTTAGAATATGAATGTGTAAATTCAAGAATTATGTGGATTAAAGTAAAGGTTGGATGCGAAAAGTGGGTCATAATAAGTGTGTATGCACCTGGAGAAGAGAGGAATGTAGAGGAGAGAGAGAGATTTTGGGAGATGTTAAGTGAATGTATAGGAGCCTTTGAACCAAGTGAGAGAGTAATTGTGGTAGGGGATCTGAATGCTAAAGTAGGAGAAACTTTTAGAGAGGGTGTGGTAGGTAAGTTTGGGGTGCCAGGTGTAAATGATAATGGGAGCCCTTTGATTGAACTTTGTATAGAAAGGGGTTTAGTTATAGGTAATACATATTTTAAGAAAAAGAGGATAAATAAGTATACAAGATATGATGTAGGGCGAAATGACAGTAGTTTGTTGGATTATGTATTGGTAGATAAAAGACTGTTGAGTAGACTTCAGGATGTACATGTTTATAGAGGGGCCACAGATATATCAGATCACTTTCTAGTTGTAGCTACACTGAGAGTAAAAGGTAGATGGGATACAAGGAGAATAGAAGCATCAGGGAAGAGAGAGGTGAAGGTTTATAAATTAAAAGAGGAGGCAGTTAGGGTAAGATATAAACAGCCATTGGAGGATAGATGGGCTAATGAGAGCATAGGCAATGGGGTCGAAGAGGTATGGGGTAGGTTTAAAAATGTAGTGTTAGGGTGTTCAGCAGAAGTTTGTGGTTACAGGAAAGTGGGTGGGGGAGGGAAGAGGAGCGATTGGTGGAATGATGATGTAAAGAGAGTAGTAAGGGAGAAAAAGTTAGCATATGAGAAGTTTTTACAAAGTAGAAGTGATGCAAGGAGGGAAGAGTATATGGAGAAAAAGAGAGAGGTTAAGAGAGTGGTGAAGCAATGTAAAAAGAGAGCAAATGAGAGAGTGGGTGAGATGTTATCAACAAATTTTGTTGAAAATAAGAAAAAGTTTTGGAGTGAGATTAACAAGTTAAGGAAGCCTAGAGAACAAATGGATTTGTCAGTTAAAAATAGGAGAGGGGAGTTATTAAATGGAGAGTTAGAGGTATTGGGAAGATGGAGGGAATATTTTGAGGAATTGTTAAATGTTGATGAAGATAGGGAAGCTGTGATTTTGTGTATAGGGCAAGGAGGAATAACATCTTGTAGGAGTGAGGAAGAGCCAGTTGTGAGTGTGGGGGAAGTTCGTGAGGCAGTAGGTAAAATGAAAGGGGGTAAGGCAGCCGGGATTGATGGGATAAAGATAGAAATGTTAAAAGCAGGTGGGGATATAGTTTTGGAGTGGTTGATGCAATTATTTAATAAATGTATGGAAGAGGGTAAGGTACCTAGGGATTGGCAGAGAGCATGCATAGTTCCTTTGTATAAAGGCAAAGGGGACAAAAGAGAGTGCAAAAATTATAGGGGGATAAGTCTGTTGAGTATACCTGGTAAAGTGTATGGTAGAGTTATTATTGAAAGAATTAAGAGTAAGACGGAGAATAGGATAGCAGATGAACAAGGAGGCTTTTGGAAAGGTAGGGGGTGTGTGGACCAGGTGTTTACAGTGAAACATATAAGTGAACAATATTTAGATAAGGCTAAAGAGGTCTTTTTGGCATTTATGGATTTGGAAAAGGCGTATGACAGGGTGGATAGGGGGACAATGTGGCAGATGTTGCAGGTGTATGGTGTAGGAGGTAGGTTACTGAAAGCAGTGAAGAATTTTTACAAGGATAGTGAGGCTCAAGTTAGAGTATGTAGGAAAGAGGGAGATTATTTCCCAGTAAAAGTAGGCCTTAGACAAGGATGTGTGATGTCACCGTGGTTGTTTAATATATTTATAGATGGGGTTGTAAGAGAAGTAAATGCGAGGGTCTTGGCAAGAGGCATGGAGTTAAAAGATAAAGAATCACACATAAAGTGGGAGTTGTCACAGTTGCTCTTTGCTGATGACACTGTGCTCTTGGAAGATTCTGAAGAGAAGTTGCAGAGATTGGTGGATGAATTTGGTAGGGTATGCAAAAGAAGAAAATTAAAAGTGAATACAGGAAAGAGTAAGGTTATGAGGATAACAAAAAGATTAGGTGATGAAAGATTGGATATCAGATTGGAGGGAGAGAGTATGGAGGAGGTGAATGTATTCAGATATTTGGGAGTGGACGTGTCAGCGGATGGGTCTATGAAAGATGAGGTGAATCATAGAATTGATGAGGGGAAAAGGGTGAGTGGTGCACTTAGGAGTCTGTGGAGACAAAGAACTTTGTCCTTGGAGGCAAAGAGGGGAATGTATGAGAGTATAGTTTTACCAACGCTCTTATATGGGTGTGAAGCATGGGTGATGAATGTTGCAGCGAGGAGAAGGCTGAAGGCAGTGGAGATGTCATGTCTGAGGGCAATGTGTGGTGTGAACATAATGCAGAGAATTCGTAGTTTGGAAGTTAGGAGGAGGTGTGGGATTACCAAAACTGTTGTCTAGAGGGCTGAGGAAGGGTTGTTGAGGTGGTTCGGGCATGTGAGAATGGAGCAAAACAGAATGACTTCAAGAGTGTATCAGTCTGTAGTGGAAGGAAGGCGGGGTAGGGATCGGCCTAGGAAAGGTTGGAGGGAGGGGGTAAAGGAGGTTTTGTGTGCGAGGGGCTTGGACTTCCAGCAGGCATGCGCGAGCGTGTTTGATAGGAGTGAATGGAGACAAATGGTTTTTAATACTTGACGTGCTGTTGGAGTGTGAGCAAAGTAACATTTATGAAGGGGTTCAGGGAAACCGGCAGGCCAGACTTGAGTCCTGGAGATGGGAAGTACAGTGCCTGCACTCTGAAGGAGGGGTGTTAATGTTGCAGTTTAAAAACTGTAGTGTAAAGCACCCTTCTGGCAAGACAGTGATGGAGTGAATGATGGTGAAAGTTTTTCTTTTTCGGGCCACCCTGCCTTGGTGGGAATTGGCCAGTGTGATAATAAAAAATAATAAAATACTTGTAATTAAAGATACAAATAAAGATACCCTAAGGTTGCACGTGTCTAATTCATCATTTTATCAGTATTGTATACCACTGATGTACAATCATACACATGGATACATTTTAAATACACATTTAACATCTTTGTTGGTGTTATAAATTCTGGCATATCTTTTTAAAAATTAATTAATATTCTTTTGTTTATAGAGCTCTCCTAACCCATTGTTTGAGGTAGTGCTTGACACCAGCACAGATGATAATGAACCTGATTTCAAGGTGAGTAGAGTACTGTCTTACTGTGTATATCATTGTATTATATACGTACTGACTAACATATTAATTCTCCATGGGAAAGACGGAGAAGAATCCTTCCTCCATAAGCCATGCATGTCATAAGAGGTGACTAAAATGTCAGGAGCAAGGGGTTAGCAACCCTTTCTTCTGTATAAATAACTAAATGTGAAAAAAAAAAAACTTTACGTTTCTTCTTATTTTGGGTCATCCTTAAAATTTGTAAGCCTTTTTATGACTTGGTGGGAGATGGCCTTTGTGTTAAAAAAGAAAATGTGTTAATTAATAAGACACTCCGTCCCCTGGGCACTGCATAGGGAACACTACCCGAGCACATGCGGCAGCGTATATACCGATGCTTCACTGGTGAATATGATTCCTCACTATCACTACTCGAATGATCGTCAAGAGCAATAAAATCACAATCCACGTCACTATCATCATCATTACTGAAGTCAGAGACCTGGCCACATGAAAATATTAGTTTTCTCTTGCGACGAGGTACAACTGAACGTGACTGAGACGTGCCCACACCAGAGGTAGAAGGATTTTCTGCACTATTATCGATATCCTGGTCATTCCTTTCGGTCACTAACTGATCACCGCCACAGAATTTATCTTCATTTCCACTTCCATCAGAGTCAGAACTATCAGATAGGAAGAGGAGACTCCCTATTCGCCTTGGAGTGAGAGCTGCCTTGCGACGAGGCATGGTGAACCAAGGTAACTGAGCCGGCGTTCTCACAATGCTATGCGGGCGCCTAGATTTTTCTTCACGGTGCACACACACCATGCAGACCCATTCTCTCACATGTAGGCCTACCAGCCTTCTCACGCTAAATTTGATGCTGCTAGAATTTTGGCATAGATCTACGGTTTGGACCCTCAGCGTATAGCCGTAGATCTATGGCATGGACCCTCAAAGGGTTAATAATAATTATAATAATAATAATACATAATAATAATAATAATAATACACATGTAATACGTAATAATAACTCAGAATGCTGCCACTAGTTGGCGCAGCCGATAACAAAACATTCAGTAAGGAGTCTACGTGTTTACATTGCCGTTGGAACATTTCTCTTGTGCTTGCTTGCATTTTTTTTACAGCCATTTGGCCAAATTTCATTTTTCTAACCATGGTTCCTAAGAAAATAAGTGCAAAGGACAGTGCTGAGAAGAAAAAGAGGATGATTTCCATGGAATTAAAGCAAATTGTATCGTTAAGTTCAGCAATCAAACAAAACAAATTATATCATTACTCGTCATATTATGGCCTATTTTATTCATTCTAGAGTATATATCATGTTTCTCTGTTAATTATGTTGTTTATTATGTCATATTAGATGAATTGTGATAGATAAATAAGCTGTAGATTTGTTATATTGAAATATTTTGTCCTGCTGCTGGGACGGATTAATGGCATTTCAATTAATTTAAATGAGGAAAATTGATTCGATATACGAGCAAATTGAGTTACGAACTAGGTCACAGAACAGATTAAACTCGTAAGTCAAGGTTCCACTGTATTCTTCTTCCTTCAACAAACCAGCTGTATCTCACCGAAGCAGGGTGGCACAAAAAAGAAAAGCAAAAATTTCTCATTTCAACTTTAGTAATGTATACAGGATAAAGGGTTACTAGCCCCTTGCTCCCAGCATTTTAGACGCCTCTTACGACACACACGGCTTACGGAGGAAGAATTCTGTTCCACTTCCCCATGGAGATATTGTAGTATTATTATTATTCGTATTATTATTATATTATTATGGTAAAAATCTAACATTTCTGCTACTTTGAGCTCAATTTCAAGGTCATTTTCATCGTGAAACTAATCAAAATCATCTCTATTTCTGTAATGTTTTCCATTTTATCACGTGAAACCATGAAAACAAGAATACAATGATAAATACTATACGAAAATACACCTCAAAGTCAGCATTTTAATCCAAAAAAACGGTCGGTTTTTTTTCTCATTATACACTGCATGCTGCAGGATTTTTTTTATGTGGTGCACACTGACTACACAGACCCATTCTCTCACATGTGGGTCTACCAGTTTTCTCCTGCTTGATTTGAAGCCGCTAGAATTTACGCGTATAAATACGTCCGAAACAGTGGCACGTAAGACGTATATATACGACCAAAACAGTCAAAGGGTTAAAGTGCAGGCATTGTACTTCCCATTTCCAGTACTCAAGTCCGGCTATATAAATATAACCGGTTTCCCTGAACCCCTTAACTAAATATTACCCTGCTTACACTCCAACAGCTTGTCAGGTCCCAAAAACCATTCGTCTCCATTCACTCCTATCTAACATGCTCATGCACGCTTGCTGGAAGTCCAAGCCCCTCACCCACAAAACCTCCTTTACCTTCTCCCTCCAACCTTTTCGAGGACGACCCCTGCCCCACCTTCCTTCCCCTACATATTTATGTGCTCTCCATGTCATTCTACTTTGATCCATTATTATTATTATTATTATTATTATTATTATTATTATTATTATTATTATTATTATTATTATAATGGGGAAGTGCTAAACCCGTAGGATTATACAGCGCCTGTGGGGGGGGAGGGGATGGAAGGTATTCAAGCTTAATTTAGAGAACTTTAGCACAGATACAATTCACATAAATTTTGGCTCGTATTCAGGAACAAAAAATTGACCGAGCAAAAGCTCGTATCCTGAAAAACTCACATGGTGGGACATTCATAAGCAGAGGTTCCACTATACTACTTTTACTGCTATTATGACTACTGCTACTACTACTACTACTACTGTTAATAATAATATTAAAGTACTAGTGCAACCAATTTAAGACATGTTTAATTCTTTCCAGGTGTCTGTGGGAAAACAAGACAAAAGCGAAACATACCAAGCTCTAGTGAGTCTGAGACAGGATCAACTCTTTCACCTCACTACTACTATTAATATGTGAGTATCCATAACCCACATTCCAGCCTTCCTTGTAACTTTTTCCAATCTCTTGTAACTCACTCTAGCCCCTTATAACTTACTCTATTGTAATTTACTCCAACTTCTTGTAAATTATACCAGCCCCTTCCTTGTAACTCATTCCAGCTCCTTACAACTCATTCCAGCCCCTTGTGACACACTCCTGCCCCTTGTGAAACACTCCAGCTGCTCCATTCCCATGTAATTTGACCCATCTTCAGGAATTATTTCTTACAGGCATAATATATATCTGGAATATATATCATAACAAACAAGCCCACAGATGGAAAATAAAGTGGAATGTAGGAGTGAGGTATATTTCAGCATCACACTGAGGTCTTCTTCAGTGCCAGGGTGACATACACAATAATCTTCTCTTCTTGAAGGTTTGATTATTTAAATGGTGTAAAAAAATGACAAGCAGATGAACAAAACACTTGTGCAGTACCTGGGTATCTTCAGTGTGGAAATGTTTTGCCAACCAGCAGCTTTATTGATCCAATGCAGGAAAAAAAAAATCAGCCCCTCATCTCTAAGCTGAGGAACTGATTACCTCAAATTCCCTCTTAGCATCTTCCACTGTTTTTTTTTTCTGTATTATTTGATATACCCAATGGCTGGCAAAATTCTTCATAAATAAAGATAACTCAAGTGTTGCACTAGTGTCTCGTTCATCTCCTTGAAGGTTAACAGACAAATTCGTATGCAAACTTTTACTTATGCAAGGAGAACCTATAGTATTTTACATTGTGTCAGGCACAGTGAGGTTATAAGAGGTGAGTAATCTGCATAATTAGCATTCCAGTGTTTTATAATGGAATGTACTTGTGACTTTGCAATGGTTGAAGGCTCCCTGATTTTCTTCAATTGCTTTTAAGATCTTTATGGTGGCTTCCATGAGATGCTTTCGTCTGTTTCCATCATTATATCATTATTGTGCAGGGCTAGCTGCACCTTACTCCAATCCATGCACCTGAATAAAGGTGCAGTCCATCATTATATCATTACTTTGCAGGGTTAGCTGCATATTCTGTTAGTGGGTTGAATTTGTGAAGGATCTGCCTAGTATGGGCCAACAGGCCTACTGCAGTGTTCCTCCTTTCTTATGTTCTTATCTTACTCCAGTCCATGAACTTCAAGGTGCAGCCACTGGGATGGGATGAAGGGAGGGAAGCCTAAACCCCCTGATGTAAATTCTTTTTCTTTTTTCAAATACTGGCTCACTTTCACTGTACAGTGGACCCCCGCATAGCGAACTTAATCCGTGCAAGAGGGCTGGCCGTTATGCGAAATGTTCGCTATGCGAATTAATTTTCCCCATAAGAAATAATGGAAATAAAATTAATCCGTGCAAGACACCCAAAAGTATGAAAAAAAATTTTTTTTACCACAAAAAAATGTTAATTTTAGTACACACAAACTGAAAAAGGCATGCACAATTACATGACACTTACTTTTATTGAAGATCTGGTGATGATTGATGGGATGGGAGGAGGGGAGAGAGAGTGTTAGTGTTTAGAAGGGGAATCCCCTTCCATTAGGACTTGAGGTAGCAAGTCCTTTTCTGGGGTTACTTCCCTTCTTCTTTTAATGCCACTAGGACCAGCTTCAGAGTCACTGGACTTCTTTCGCACAACATATCTGTCCATAGTGGCCTGTACCTCTCGTTCCTTTATGATTTGTCTAAAGTGGTTCACAACAGTGTCATTGTAACAGTCACCAGCACGGCTTGCAATAGCTGTGTGAGGGTGATTTTCATCAAAAAGGTTTGCACTTCAAGCCATTTTGCACACATTTCCTTAATCTTTGAAGTAGGCAATTCCTTCAATTTCTCTCTCCCCTCCTTTGAACCAGTTTCCCCAGGTCTGGCCTCTTGCTCTTGAAGTTGATCTATCAGCTCATCAGTGGTTAGTTCTTCATTGTCCTCCTCCACCAACTCTTCCACATCCTCCCCACTAACCTCCAACCCCAAGGACTTCCCCAATTCCACAATTGATTCCTCAACTGGTATACTACTCCTCTCAGGGTTAGCCTCAAACCCTTCAAAATCCCTTTTGTCTACACATTCTGGCCACAGTTTCTTCCAAGCAGAGTTCAAGGTTCTCTTAGTCACTCCCTCCCAAGCCTTACCTATAAGGTTTACACAATTGAGGATATTAAAGTGATCCTTCCAAAACTCTTTTAGAGTCAATCGAGTGTCTGTGGTCACTTCAAAGCACTTTTGAAACAGAGCTTTTGTGTACAGTTTCTTGAAGTTGGAAATGACCTGCTGGTCCATGGGCTGCAGGAGAGGAGTGGTATTAGGAGGCAAAAACTTCACCTTAATGAAGCTCATGTCCCCATAAAGTCGCTCTGCCACGTCTGTAGGATGACCAGGGGCATTGTCTAACACCAGGAGGCACTTAAGGTCTAATTTCTTTTCAGTTAGGTAATCTTTCACTTTGGGGGGCAAATGCATGGTGTAACCAGTTATAGAAAAATTCCCTAGTGACCCATGCCTTACTGTTTGCCCTCCACAGCACACACAAATTATCCTTGAGGACATTCTTTTGCCTGAACGCTCTGGGAGTTTCAGAGTGATACACTAATAAAGGCTTAACTTTGCAATCACCACTAGCATTGGCACACATCAACAAAGTAAGCCTGTCTTTCATAGGCTTATGTCCTGGGAGTGCCTTTTCCTCCTGAGTAATGTAGGTCCTGCTTGGCATTTTCTTCCAGAACAGGCCTGTTTCATCACAATTAAACACTTGTTCAGGTTCCAGTCCTTCAGTTTCTATGTACTCCTTGAATTCATGCACATATTTTTCAGCCGCTTTGTGGTCCGAACTGGCAGCCTCACCATGCCGTATCACACTATGGATGCCACTACGCTTCTTAAATCTCTCAAACCAACCTTTGCTGGCCTTAAATTCACTCACATCATCACTAGTTGCAGGCATTTTTTTAATTAAATCGTCATGCAACTTCCTAGCCTTTTCACATATGATCGCTTGAGAGACGCTATCTCCTGCTAGCTGTTTTTCATTTATCCACACCAATAAGAGTCTCTCAACATCTTCCATCACTTGCGATCTTTGTTTCGAAAACACAGTTAAACCTTTGGCAAGAACAGCTTCCTTGATTGCCGTTTTCTTGCCCACAATAGAAGAGATGGTTGATTTTGGTTTCTTGTACAACCTGACCAGGTCGGTGATACGTACTCCACTTTCATACTTATCAATGATCTCTTTCTTCATTTCAATGGGTATTCTTACCCTTTGAGGTGTAGGGTTGGCACTAGAAGCTTTCTTGGGGCCCATGGTCACTTATTTTCCAGAAACAGCACCGAAAACACTGTAATAATACGAAATATTCCGAGTGTATGCTTGAATGTTACCGCGGAGGCTGGCTGGTAAACAATGGCACGGGCGGCACATGTGAGGCTGGCTGAGGGCGCACATTGGACGCGTCTCGGACGAAGGCCGCTGAGCGGGTTTTTGTCCACTATGCGGGGCAAAATTTTAGCGAACAAAGCGTCCGCTATGCGGATTGTTCGCTATGCAAGGCGTTTGCTATGCGGGGGTCCACTGTATTATATTGACCACTGACCATGCTATTGTGATGGTTTAAATTATTATTTTGACCAATGACCATGAAATTGCAATGGTTTAAACTATTGATTTGATTTTTACAGCATCTTATGATTTTTTAAGCCCTTAGACTGAAGTCTTGGATTAAGCTCCCAGATTCAAATCCTGGCTACAGCCCCTCTTTCCTTTTGAGGTGTGTCAGTACCACAATTAATATAGGTTATCGGTAAAATCCAACCACCAGTAGTTGGGTTATTTTAAGTTTTGTGAAAATAACATATTTTGTTTTTGTTTGCTGTTTCAACTGAGAATTGTAATGTGCCTCTTCTTGCATAGTAGATTTCATTATTTATAACCAAAATTTATGAATGAAATTAGTTTTTTTATGTAAAATGATGCACAATTCCTTTGACTAAAAATTTTTCATTATTTACCTATCTTAGGAACAAGACATTCAGTGGGAGTATGCATCTTTTAGAGAGCCTCGTTCAAGTTAATGGTCAGTACAGCCTGACTGACCCAGAACACCTTCAATGTTCAGCAAATATAATCATAACATTACCATCGGGTCAGGCTTTCACCTCCGAGTTAAATCTCTCGCACTCCTATAATGGCATAACACGAGACATAAAGGTTAGTATTACTTACACCTGGAGGGTGTTTTGGTGGTCAGTGACCCAGAGTCTTGGTCCATGACCAGGCCTTGTGGTGGATCAGGGCCTGATATTTGGAGCACTAGCAATGGAAACATAGATCAACGTTTGGAAGGTTAACAAGTTAACTGATGCATCATGCAGGGTGGGCAAAATATTTGTCAATAAAAACACCTAGTTTTACACATGTGTCTTACTTAACAATTGGCATTATCCTTTCATCCGTCTTTTTTTTTTTCTTTTTTGTTAAGGTTTCCCATATACATAAGGGCAAGAGGATTGAGGGTCATGTTGTGGTGCTACACCGTGATGGCTGGTTCATGGATGATACACACGGCTTGGTCTTATCGCTCACAACACCTTTTGCTCACCTCAGCAATCTAACATTTGCTTTTGAGAAGCACACAGATCACTCCTCGGCTGATTTTGTCGAGCTCAGTTGGGAGGAATTGAAGGTGTAGTATCTCATTTGTTTTCAGCTGTTTGATGTATTTAAATGCTTAATAGTACTTTTGCACTAAGTAATGGCCCACTTGCAGACATAAACATGGAAGACAAAGTTACTCTGTATATTTCAATGCCATATGGAGTCCTTTTCTGTATATTTCCATTTGGGCATCGAAATACACAGACCTCTCTTGTATCTGTCTCCATGTGCTTTATTACTTGGCACTGACGAATGTTTATTACACTTTTATTGTTATGCATGTACGTACTTTTTTTATTCAGTATTCTGCACTAAATTCAAAAGATAATGAACAAAATTTACCTCCGTTTCATCACGGTGTCCTTCAGTGTTACATCTTCCTGCAGTGGCCCGTATTTAGCAGTCACCCCTCACTTATTACCTTCACCAAGGCACTGCCTTCTTGTCTTCCATATAACATCACAAATTTTTCATCCCATTAATTTTAAACATTTGTAATTCAACATTTTCTTGATTTTCTAACAGTTTTGTATGAAGCTTAATTTCTTTATCAAATCCAGCTGGAGAAACATTGAAGTATAATGCTTATAAAAATGAATTCTAGCAGTAGACATAAAATGCTACTTAAAATAGTTATTGAGAACCTTAGCAAAATTTTTGAACATCTCCCAAACTAGCTTAGAATAAAGAATCACACACAAAGTGGGAGTTGTCACAGCTGCTCTTTGCTGATGACACTGTGCTCTTGGGAGATTCTGAAGAGAAGTTGCAGAGATTGGTGGATGAATTTGGTAGGGTGTGCAAAAGAAGAAAATTAAAGGTGAATACAGGAAAGAGTAAGGTTATGAGGATAACAAAAAGATTAGGTGATGAAAGATTGAATATCAGATTGGAGGGAGAGAGTATGGAGGAGGTGAACGTATTCAGATATTTGGGAGTGGACGTGTCAGCGGATGGGTCTATGAAAGATGAGGTGAATCATAGAATTGATGAGGGAAAAAGAGTGAGTGGTGCACTTAGGAGTCTGTGGAGACAAAGAACTTTGTCCTTGGAGGCAAAGAGGGGAATGTATGAGAGTATAGTTCTACCAACGCTCTTATATGGGTGTGAAGCGTGGGTGATGAATGTTGCAGCGAGGAGAAGGCTGGAGGCAGTGGAGATGTCATGTCTGAGGGCAATGTGTGGTGTGAATATAATGCAGAGAATTCGTAGTTTGGAAGTTAGGAGGAGGTGCGGGATTACCAAAACTGTTGTCCAGAGGGCTGAGGAAGGGTTGTTGAGGTGGTTCGGACATGTAGAGAGAATGGAGCGAAACAGAATGACTTCAAGAGTGTATCAGTCTGTAGTGGAAGGAAGGCGGGGTAGGGGTCGGCCTAGGAAGGGTTGGAGGGAGGGGGTAAAGGAGGTTTTGTGTGCGAGGGGCTTGGACTTCCAGCAGGCATGCGTGAGCGTGTTTGATAGGAGTGAATGGAGACAAATGGTTTTTAATACTTGACGTGCTGTTGGAGTGTGAGCAAAGTAACATTTATGAAGGGATTCAGGGAAACCGGCAGGCCGGACTTGAGTCCTGGAGATGGGAAGTACAGTGCCTGCACTCTGAAGGAGGGGGGTTAATGTTGCAGTTTAAAAACTGTAATGTAAAGCACCCTTCTGGCAAGACAGTGATGGAGTGAATGATGGTGAAAGTTTTTCTTTTTCGGGCCACCCTGCCTTGGTGGGAATCGGCCGGTGTGATAATAAAAAAAATAATAATAATAATAATAATGTTATTATTATGAGGAGCAAAGAGCAAGCCCCCAGGGGGCATACATACATTAATAAATACATACTGCTCTATAATATATTACTTTTCTGACAGGTTCGTGGTGAAGTCCAACTTAATGGTCCAGCTAACATGGAGGTAAAATTGCTATATGAAGATGGCGGTACTTGTGACTCTCACTTCCACTTGTATCACACATATGACGGAGAGCAGTACCTGACAGGGGCAAGCTTACGTCTGACACAAACTCATAGCCCATGGGCAGTTCATGCTGTCAGCAGTTTCAGTCACTCTGGCAATCAGGATTCTGTATATATCAAGTTAGATTTCCAGTGTCCCATGCTGATGACACCTGTGCAGCTGCATGGAGTGTTGAATAGTTCAGAAACTCATTGGAACTTTCAAATTCAGGCACAGATGCAAGAAAATTTATCATTTATATTTACTACAAAGAATGCAGAGGAGTTAACTACGCATAAGCGCCTCGTGAGTCTCGAATTAGAGACTCCTTGGACTCAACCTGTGAACATGAATGTGACAAATACTTACAATGGAAACAGCTTCAATTTGACCTTAGAATTTTGGTCATTCTTGCATCCAGTAAACTCACTAACAGCTGAATTTAGGTCTTCCTATGCAGATCTCAATGACATTAAGGCCCAGTTCTATTTTTCACATGAGCAGCTTGACGTTACAGTGGATCTCATTCACAATATGACTAGCAACAGTTTGGATGAATACTTTCAGGGTTCTGCCAACAGTCTAAAATTTACTTTCGATATTGACACCAAATGGGACGAACATCTAATTCCAGCAATAGCAAATGGGCAGCTTTCTGTTGTTAATTTATTTGATCACAAATTCGACTTATCTCTATCTCACGCTAAAGAAACAGATGTTTTCCGTACCGAGCTCCTTGGATCTTGGGATGATCAGAATTTTGAAGTGAATCACAAATTAGATTTGAGCAACCCTGGGAAATCGATAAGCATATTAGAGGCAACACTTCCAAATCATGATATTATCAAGACTGAACTTTATTTTATTGTTGATCATTTCAGTACTCTTACCTGTAAGTTTAACTTCATATCTCCTTGGACTAAAAATATCAAGACTGACTTTGTAATACAATATATGGATTCAGGGATAAATATTGATACTGAAACGTTGTATGATGGCGATTTTGTCATAAAGGTGAAATTACAGAAGAATGGCCCCACTCACTGGAACCAATCAGACTTTGCATTAGAGGTCAACTCCTCTTTCTTTGAGCAGTTTCAGATAAAATGGAAGCACAATTTGGAAGATGAAAATCAATTTCTGCTAGAGATTACTTATGGAGCCAAGTTCCCTTCACCAGATAATGAATTCTACTTCAGAGGATCAAGTAATTTAATGTATAACAAAGAAATGTTGAAACAAGATTTTGAACAATTGGACTTGAGTGTTACACTCCATTGCCCAAGCTCTCAAATTGATGTAAGTACTAAAGTGAGTTTTGATTCACACTTCAGTGGAGACTTTGAAACCAAATGGAATGATTATATATTCTCTCTAACATCATCTATATTTGATGGGTTGATTTTCAAGATTATATCTTCTTCAAATGTAAATTATGAAGTAGAAATGAAATATGAAGTGGGAAGCAGCAGTTTCCCAGATCTACATTTTAAACTGATGAAGGATGGGGTAAACGTATTTGTCTTGGCAAATCAGTTTGCATCACTCTATCCTAAATTTGATGTCTTGTTCTCTCTTAGTGTCTTACTAACAACAGATGGCACTGTCCGAAATGCACAGTTGAGGATGAAAGCTGACTTATCAAATATAAAAGATTATGCGTTCAGTGGCATTTTCAAACTGGATTCTGATTTTAAAGGGTTTGAAAAGTATTGGGCTGAATTAGATTCAGGCGTGATTTCCAACTCCTCAAATGTTGGTGCCCACATACGTGGACTATTACATTTAAACAAATGGCATTACAAAGCAATACTAAATGGCTCAGTTGATTTAGCTCAAGATTTTAATTTAGAATATCAAAACATATATGAATTGACTCATGAAGATAAACTCATAGATCAAAAAGATATTAGTTTATCCATCACCATAACAGATGACATTATCTACCAGGGAAGACTCTCTCTTCATATGGGGCTTAATAACCCTATGTGGTCTTCATTCATATATTATAATAAAAAAGAAAATATTCTTAAGGGTTACACTATCCCAGGTAACTCAAAGAAGTACGAATTTCAACTCGTGGTCACCAGTAATACATTTACTTTAGATATCCAAATTTTAAGTGAAAATGGATCTAAATTTGAAGTTCTGAACGGCAATGTCAACTGGAATATAAGGAAACGAAAGAAGCAAGTTAGTGTTAATATGAATTCAGATTTTGATGCCATCAGAAAAATAATAGGGCAGATAATATTACAGCAAAAAAAAGGTCTAGCAGCAAATGCGAAGCTTCGAGTTAATGAGGAGAATTTTACTGGAAGTTTAAGATACATTTCTCAAGAATCAAAAAATGCTGGCAAAATAATAGTTAAAGTTGATAATAACATTTATTTTCCCATAAAAAGTGATACTAGCATAAACTTTTCCTTCGAGCCAGATAAGTATGAATCTGATGTAGTGGTTGATCTAAATGATGAGAAAGAATGGTTAAAGGCTGACTTGAAAGCAACTTTGCCTGAGACACATCTTCAGCTTTACATTCCTTATACAGAGCTTGAAAAAATGGATATATCTTTGAATATTAACACACAAGATGTTTGGGGAGTGCAATTAGCGGTGCAAGCACCAAAATTTTGTTTGGATTTTGATGGTTCACTTGATAAGTCACTACATAATTCCTCAATACACTTGATCATCACAAAAGACTGCACAGGACAAACAATATTTGAGTTAAGTTTCAGCCATGATCTTGGAAGGAGTGCCAATTATCTATTAGCGGATTCCTTTGATGTAATAAGTTATTGCTATGTCCACGATTATGGCTTGATCTATAGGTATGATATATCCTGGAATAATTCCGACAGCATGAGTGTTGCCAAAATAGAAGGACAATTTTATCCACAACACTCATTTGGTTTGCTCTTATCACAGTCCTACGGGGATGAGTTTTTTCTCATACGAGCATATGACCTGCATTCTAATATAACCCACTTTTTGTACAGACATTCTGTGACGAAGAAGAATGCTGAAATAGACATTAAAATAAATAAACATAAATTAATTTCATTTCAAGCTGAATATGATTTTTATCTTGAGAATATTACGATAGATTTCACTTACTATCACTCGCTGTTTGGGTTATCACCATTAAATATCACAGGAGAGGTACGCTGGAGCCATAACAATGAAGCTGGTAATTCGTCGAAAATAGAAGTAGGTACCTTAAAGTTATTAACAACAGTGGGTGATGCTGAGGGAAAAATTATACTCCAGAAATCAGCACATTCATACTCTGTAACAGCTGATCTGATCTCAAATCTCCACTCATTCCGTGAGTACCATTTTAAATTTGATCATGAATATTTAGGTGATAACCATACTTTCAAGGTTATAAGTTTACAAGATGACACTGAATTCCAGATTCATGGTTCCTCTTACAGCGAAAATAATATGACTAAGATCAACGTTAATTTTCTAACACCATTCAAGGATTTTGATCATTTTGAAATTTCATATGGTTACTCCAAGTCAGAGACTCTAGAAAGTCCCTATGAAGCTCACATTCGTATGATATTATTTGGAAGTTTGTACGGGATTGATATTAACCACATTCACCAAGTGTCCTGGAGAAATCAAAAGACAGAAATGATGTTGTTATCCCCTGAAGACATATTTAGTAATGTCTCTGTCTCATTAATGTACAACGTAGATGACCAGAGTGCAGCATTACAGCTGGGCACCTCTCAAGGAAGCCTAGGAATAGATGGCGCATGGCAGCATCAAGACACAAACGTTATCTTCAGTCTGAATATTGATCTAACACTTTTGTATTTGGGTAAATATTTCTTTGATGCAGACATTCCTCTAGCACTCTCCCAAGATGGCGAATTCCGAATTGAGCATCGTCAAGCAGATTTTAATTTTATTGGCCATGTCTTGACAGGTGGCAATTTCAGGCATGCCAGTGTCAGTCTTATTTTACCAAATTCAAACCCATCTTTGGAAAATACCACTTATATGCTCAGTTATAAATTTGACTCATCTCTAAATATAGATGGGCAATTTGAATCCTGGAAAGCAAATGTTATTTTGGAATTTTTAAGAAGTACATTTCCAGTTTTGACTGGAAGCTTCATTCTTAAAACAAATATTCCTGGCTATGAAGCAGTAGATGGATCTTGGGACATCAGACTCAGAAGTGAGATTTCTGTTATACAGATTAATGTAAATGTAGAGCAACAGGGAACTATAACATTTAGTTCTACAGTTGATATCCAGCCCAATGGTGCTAGAAAAGCATGGGAAAAAATGGCAATTAATATGCTGTTTAAGTCCCCTTACACCTTGACTCATCATCTACAAGCAGAATATGACTTAAGTGCCTTCATTGTTGAAGCTTCTTACCAATATGGTCTTGATAACTTCCAGATTAAGTTAAATTCAAAATTAAAGCGTAAAGTAGGTACAGTATCATTAACTGGCAACATTCCGGTACAAGGACTGTCAGTATTCAGCACTAACTTCAACTATAAATTGAAGGATTCCTATGATATTAGTTTGGATGCAGCTGTTGAAGAAACATCCCTACAAACACACTTTGAATTATGGCCCAATGGAACAGTGGGATCAACAATGTTATCATTAACATCCCCATATATTTTGCCTGTAACAGCCGCTCTGAACTGGTCTTTCGTTGAGAGCCCCTTGCACCTTGAGTCAAGCCTGACTTATGGAAAACATGCTGGGGAACTAAAGGTAATCCTGAAGGACATTATTAATTCTAAGCATATTGAGGTCCTTATAGCAACACCATTTGTCATATTTTCTAAATTAGATTTCAGAGCACAGTATACTTTAACAGAGTCTAACCAACTGCATATATCTGCTGACTTTGGTGTGAATCATCATAGGTTCAAGATAGAGTCTACCTTAATCAACACTGTACTAGAAGTCTCTGGATTTATGGATGCACTTGAAAAAAAAGGCTCTCTCAAAATGACAGTCGGAAAAAGCATCGATGTGTATGAAGGTAAACTTTTTGGTGAGATTACTGGTTACGAGCCACTCCACGTTAGCATTAGTGCTCATGCTGAGCATTTCCAGTTAAGTGTAAAGTATGGCATAACAACAGTATTACGTGTCAACATTAATTTTGCACATGTAATTCTTGAATTTTCTTGGACAAAACATACCTTTAGTCTGACTTTAAATTATCTGCCACTTAATAATGATATTCAATTTAAGCTTATCTTAAATATCCCACAGATCAATCCACTGATGGTACACATTACCTATTCTGAATATGATGGGTATAAAGTTGATGGTAACATAACTATAGGGAAAACAGTCTACAACATGAATTCTTCACTTCTCATACAAGGAGAGTTGTCATCTTTAGAGCTATATTTACAATCATTGGACAGTCCACACACCCCAATTATTGTAAAGGCCAAGTATGATATAACGGACTTCTTAAAGTGGAAAATGAACAATTTGACAGAACTGGCCTCAGCTTCTTTTGAATGGGGAGATGCAATTAAGGTCATTGTAACAGGCATGAGCAACGGGAACCGTGCTAAGGTAAACATTGAGATAACAACCCCATTTAAATCCCTGCCACAACTCAACATGGGCTGTGATGGTGAATTAGCCTATGAAAATGCAAATATTGACTTGACAGCTACAGTCTATGTGGAATGGTCTCAGCGTATCACTGTTACTGGATTCTATAAGTACAAGAATGGAGAGATAGACATACACTGGGGGCTAACCACCCCTTTTTCAGAACTTAAACGGCTTGCAGCTTCCTTGAAGTTCACCTTGTCTCACATTGAGTTTTCTCTGGTGAATAATAATGATAAGTGGAGAATATTGTGTGACTATCAACTTTCTCCTTTTTCCTTGACTCTCACTGCCCAGACACCTATTTCTGGCTTTGAAACTATATCCTTTGTCATCTCTTCAAGCTCGGAAAATGGTTTGTTTGATATTCAAGCAGAGTTATCTTGGCAAAATAACAATACTGTAAGAATACATGTCCAAGCAGAGTTTTGGAAAATGGCAATAGAGTTCAATTCTCCATGGGAGCCTTTCCAGAAAGTTATATTTGTGGCTGAATTGAGAACAGAGAGTGAAGAATTGATGTATACCTCAGCTCTAGAGTGGAATATGAGAAAGGCAAAAATGACAATCATTTACTCTCCAGTACAGTTTCAGCTTATAGGTAGATATGAAGAGAACAATGCAGAGATTGCCCTTGCCAAAGTTGAGTATGTCATTCATGGCCAGGAATTTAAATCTAAAGTGGAAATAATAACTCCCTTTAAAGCTTTAAAATCATTAGAGGCTGAGCTCAATCTGGGGTTAGGAGACCAAGAATTCAAAATTAAGCTTAACATTTATGGAAAGATAAGCTTTATAGAGGGTATTTTCTCTATAACAGGTGGCCGGATTACCGTGGATATCCCAAGTTTAGAAGATTTTACATGGACGCTGGAAGCCTCCAATATGTGGATGAGAATGGACATGGAAGCATCATTGATTTATCCCAGGGCAACTTCTCCATTAACAATTAAACTTGATTATGATATAAATTCAAATAATGGAATAGGAAGATTGCATGCAAAGTTTGAAAACTTATGCCTATGGCTAGAATTCTTAAACTTTACCTTGACTGTTAATCATAGTGAATTTTTAGCATTCGTTGAGACTTCATCAACCTTGTTTATAAAGTTGAGGAACCAAGATCTATCACAGTATAAGGTTAATGTGAGTTCCAGCACTGTGAATGATCAGGTATCCTCATCTTTTGCTTTTATTGCATATGAAGTGACCTTTAAACTTTCCTTGTTGAATATATTCTTGGAAGAAGGTAATATAGAATTTGTATTGTCTAGCTGGAATGAGCAGATATGCAAGTTTTACTATGAAACGGTCTTTCCAAGCGAGCACTCGTCTAATCGACGTTTATCATTTGAATGCCTTGACTGGGCTGTTAATGCCCAGGCTACACTTACAGAAGAATCCATTAGCTTCTTATTCTCCTACCCAGAGCCAACAATAAAACACACACTTCTTTTAACTTGGGATGAAAATTTAAGCTTAGAGAACTTCCGAGTTGAAGCTGAACTTAATTCACCATATATAGAAAAGAGTACATTTTATATGCATTTTATGGTTCAACAACAATTTTCATTTTCACTGGACTCTGGAATATCTTATGGCTCAATTGAAATTGATGTGAAGGGAATATTCCAATACATAAAGAAGCTTCGGCAAGCTAACTGTGACGTACATGTGACATCAGATTGGGTTGGCACACATGCCTTCAGAGCAAACATTCGATGGCTTAATAACATTACTGCTAATGTTAAACTGAATTCTCTTGATCAAAAGCATTCTATAAAGCTTCATGTTGACACCACTGATCGCAGTGTAGAAATCACGTGCAATTCCGCATGGCTTCCATATGAAAACATAGTCATAACAGGAACAGTCAACCATGATTTTGAACCACTGAACATTGTGTTTGAAGGTCAACTTATAGGAAATTCAGGAATAAATAAAATGTTTGTTAAGGCTGTTCTAGCAAGTGATGGGCTTCAGAATGCCACCTTGCTCGCATCCTTAATAAAAAACCAAGAAACCATTTTTAAAATATCTGTGCTAGGCAAATTGGTTGATCAAGATTTGACCTTAACTCTGACAGTAGACAGTATTATTCCAGAGTTAAGAGTTACTTCCTTGATTCAGTGTTACAACATGACTACATCAGGTTGTTCTGGTGTAGCGATGCAAAGCTACTTTTTGGAAGATTTCGAAATATATATAACGATTAATGAAAACTGGAGGGATAACCAAAGAATATATGTTTACACTAATGGTTACGTCAATGAACTTTCATTTAGGCTGGGTACTGAAGAAGGAGATATCAATATTATAGTCCAGTCTGTCTACTCATCTTTCAATCTACATAGTAGATACTCTCTTCTAGATAATTTTGAAATTATATGCCACTTTAAAACATCTTTAGAAACTTTACAGTTGTTTAATTTAAGAGCAAAAGCACCTGACATTAGAGATGGGGAAGTTTTTACATTGCTCTACCGTGGACAGAACAATCCGGGATATAGCTTGAAAATTTTCTCCCCACCAGATTCTGTTATGGGTAGAAGCATTGCCATCTATATAACAACACAGGTTAAAGGATACGAAAAATTTTCATTTGTGAGTCCTACATTTTATAATAATGACGAAATCTTCCGTGTAATGCTGGAATACCCAACTGGAAAGATAGGCATTATTTTGAAATTTGGTAATTTTATCAGTGATATGCAATTCAGCATATACATGCCCTTTGAAGATTATGAAATTATTTCCCTTCGATTAATAGCAGACTTTAATGATGCTGCGCTAGAAATAAGAGTTGGCAAACTTGGAATTACTTTATCTGTTACAAATCTTGGCAGATTTTCACACGATCTATTGAATCTCGAATTTGTAATAAGAATTAATGAAAACAAAATAAAGACAAAAGTATTACTAATTTTGAAAAAAGATGATTCCATATTATCATTGCATACTGACTTTTATCCTCAAGATCTTGTGGGAGTTAGTTTCTTTTTGATAGAGTGCCGGTACAACGAAAATGAAAGGATACACTTAGTAGTTAAAAATGATCAAGAGGAACTTTTCAAAACACATGTTGCATGGGGTTCTGATAAAGTCTTTGCACTCACCACTCCTAAAAGATATCCATGCTTCCTGATCCTAAACTTGGAGTCAACCAAACAACTTAATGATTACCACATTAAAGTTGGCATCACACTTAAAGAAGATGGCACTTGGGAAGCTTACAGTTTTCATGTGCATCAAGAAATACTTGACGGTGGCCGGCATCTCTCACTCTCCGGTGAAGCTGAAGAACATCAGTTTCACGTTGAAGGAACCTTCTCTGTCAACCCCTTTCACTGGAATGAAAGTTTAATATTTGAGTTAAACAGGAGAAAATTTGGTTATAAAGTTTTGTTACAGAGAGATCCAGGTTTTTACAACAGTATATACCTAAGCCATATTAATATATTTCTGCCTACCAGAAGTCTACGCTATGATGCAAATGCCACATATAGCTCGAGGACGTTGGAAATGTTATCATCCTTGACGTGGAACGAGTATGACCCAGAAATGTTACCTTTCATCATAAAGCTCAATTACAATGACAATTCTTTGTTTGGACATAAGAAGCATTATTTAACAACAGTTCTCAGCCACCCTGCTATCAAGGATGTCATTATCCAAGGTAACATTACTCAGCTACGAAATTCACCATTGTATGGGAAAGCAGAACTAAGAGATGGAAATTCTCCTGAGAAGAATATTGTGATGACACTTGCTATACAACCTAATTTAGATAGCAAAGAGCACAATGTATTGGTTAACATTTCACAACCTCTCACGGGACTTGTACTTAGCATGGATGCCCATGTCATAGAATCCATATTTAACAAAGGTGATTACACTTTCAAATACTGGAATCTTACTAAGGAAGCAATGAAAGAGTTAAAGATCTCAACAGCTGTAAATAAATCTGATGCCGGATATGATTTTGCAGCTAATGTTTTAACTTCTCAAGCACAGTGGGGTTACAGCTACAATGGAAACATTCATTTCTCAGATAATTTAGCTGAAGTTAAAATACAAGGAAGCTCCCTAAGGTTGGGAGAATTTTGGAAATTTGGTACGTCAATAAACAAGCATTTGCCAGAGTTGATCATACATTTGGAAGTTGGGCAAAATGATCAGGAAGCTTATGAAGAAGGAAGGCTGAGAATTGGCTTGCATAATCCAGTAGAACTTGGGGCAGTTCTGGACCACAAACGATTTGGAAAGTGGAGCCAAGATAGTGCAGTTGGTCTGAGGATTTTAGAGTCAGACATCCTTCAGTTTATAGTAGAATATGATCCATCTTTGGACTACAGCGAGAGCAGCTCCTGGGCCAGCTTGACCTCACCTGCAGATAAAATTTTGGATTCTTGGCAGCGTGATGCTACCTATACAGTGTCTGTCTTCAAGCAGTGGATTGCAAGAGAGACTCAAGCTGCTCTTGATGTCCTAGTTAACACACAGACTCTACAAGCAGTTTGGGATAGTGAGAAGAACAGCTTGAAACATTACATAAGTGACTATAATGAAGTAGTCACGAGTGTCACAGGAGGAGTCGCAGCAGTATGGATCAAGTCTGTGAAACCTTTAGTTGATACTCCTCTAAGGCTCATTTACAGTGGGTAAGTAGAAAAACTTTATATTTTCTTCTTGTCAGTATTGTCTTAATTTAAATGTAGAATGAAAGCTGAAATTTTTAGTAATACACTATTTTACTAAATATAGACTGTAGATATAAGTGTCATTTGCCAAAAGAAGAAGAACCACTAAATTTAAAAATCTCATATTCTTTCACATTTATACTACGTTAATTACCGCCTTTGTAGAGTAATATTTCTCAGCGAGGAATACAAAATGTTTACTGTTAAACAAAATAGGCCTTGTTTAGACAGCCCAATTTCCATAGGCCATCCATGAGAGATGGTATGACTGACATACCATAATGTCAACTTTACCTAGGGTTGACCACCTAATATTGATTACTGAAGGTTGATTTCTATACCTCTTATTTAAACAGATATATATTTTAATAAATAAGACATGTGTGTAATACCTGGATATCCTTATTCTGAAGACATATCACCAGCTAGTGGTAAAATGTCGGCAGAGGCTAGTTGAAACTGGAGACAGTGGATGACGAAATAATTAGTCCCTCACCCTAGATGAAGGTTCACCACTGTACTCCTAATGGATCTGATGTGTAGGGTGGAAGATGAGGTAATAGTCCCTCACCCTAGATGAAGGTTCACCACTAGAGTCCTGATGGATCTGATGTGTAGGGTCAAACTTTTTTGGCATAAATATTATATAATTATACCAAAGAAGTAGATAACTGTTATTGTCTATAGCAGTTATCTACTTTTAATGCAGAATTAATCTGGAGCAACCCAACAGTCAAATATTGTGACTTATTCTCTCTAGGGGATCCTCGGTTTTAATGGCCATTAACATAAAAAGGACTGAGCTGCTTCATTTTGAGACCTCTAAACCTCTGAGGTCATAAGAACATAAAGAAGGAACACTGCAGCAGGCCTACTGGCCCATGCGAGGCAGGTCCAAGTCTCCTACCAGCTTAAGCCAATGCCCCAGCCTAGTCAGGTCAGGTCACATTCACCTAGGGAAGGAATACGGCATCTGACCCAGTAGCACAAGCTAGTCAGGTCCAGCTTACACCCACCCACACCCACTCATTTATTTATCTAACCTATTTTTAAAACTACACAACATTTTAGGCTCTATAACTGTACTGGGGAGTTTGTTCCACTCATAGACAACTCTATTATCAAACCAATGCTTTCCTGTATCCTTCCTGAATCTGAATTTTTCCAGCTTAAAGCCATTGCTGCGAGTCCTGTCCAGGCTAGATATTTTTAGCACGCTATTTACATCCCCTTTATTTATTCCTGTCTTCCATTTATACACCACACTCATATCCCCCCTAATTCTACACCTTTCTAGAGAGTGCAGATTCAGGGCCCTCAGTCTATCCTCATAGGGAAGATTCTGATACATGGGATCAACTTTGCCATCCTCCTTTGTACGTTTTTCAGTGCATTTATATACATTCTGTAATACGGTGACCAAAACTATGCAGTATAATCTAGATGAGGCCTAACCAAGGATATATAGAGTTGAAGAACCTGAAGACTCCTATTATTTATGCTTCATGATATGAAGCCAAGGATTCTGTTTGCTTTATTGCGAACACTTATGCACTGTTGTCTTGGTTTTAGATTACTGATAACCAGAATTCCCAAATAATTTTTGCAATCAGTAATATTAAGATCTACATTATTTAGTTTATATGTGGCATGGTTATTTTTCCTGTCTAGTGTTTAGAACTTTGCATTTGTTTATATTAAACTGCATCTGCCACTTCTCTGACCACTGCATCGGTCTATTCAAATCTTCCGGGAGTGCCCTAATGTCCTTGTCAGAATGAATTAGATGGTCCATTTTATTAAACTGCATCTGCCACTTCTCTGACCACTGCATCGGTCTATTCAAATCTTCCGGGAGTGCCCTAATGTCCTTGTCAGAATGAATTAGATGGTCCATTTTGGTGTCATTGGCAAACTTGCTTATGTTGCTATTTATTCCCTCATCTATGTCATTTATGTAGATTGTGAACAACAAGGGGCCCAACACTGACCCCTGTGAACACCGCTCGTGACGCTTCCCCACTCTGATTTCTCCTCATTTATGCAAACTCTCTGCTGCCTATTTGTCAACCATTCCTCTATCCAGGAAAAAAATCTCTCCTCCTATTCCGTGTTCCTTAATTTTCCTCAATAGTCTCTGATGTGGGACTCTACCAAAAGCCTTACTGAAGTCCATATACACAATATCATATTCATTACCATGATCTACCTCCTCAAATACCTTAGTGAAAAAAGTTAATAAATTCATAAGGCAAGAATTTGTAAAACCGTGCTGAGATTCGTTGATTAATTTATACTTTTCAAGATGGCTACAAATTGCCTCGGCAATTATTGATTCCATAAATTTTCCCACTATGGAAGTTAGGCTTATTGGTCTGTAGTTTTGAAGCTAAGGACCTGTCACCTGCTTTGAAAATAGGTATCACATTTTCCATCTTCCACTTATCTGGCACCATGCCAGCTTGTAGTGATATGTTATTACCAACCCCCTGCTTTCCATGAATACGATATACACATGTTAACTTCGACACCCACTGTAGTTTAAGTCCAACATAAGTGTTTACCTGAAGTAGCATCTACTGTTAGTCTTTAAGAATATAGGAATGAAAGAACACTGTAGTAAGCCTTTTGACCTACATTAGGCTGGTTGAACTCACACCCAAACTAAACCCACTCATATGCCTGTCCAATAAATATTTGAAGTTGCCCAAAGTTCCCACTTACATGAAGCAACCCGGAAGTTTGTTTCACTCATGTACAACACTTGTCACTAAACCAATACCCTACATCCCCTCTATATCTAAATGTGTCCATCTTGAATCCATTGCTGCAAGTCATGACTGGGTTAGATACTTTCAACATGTTATTAATTTCCTCTTTACTTATTCCTGTTTTTCATTCTTATACTTCAATCATATCCCCCATAATTCATCATCTTCCCAGAGTGCAAATTCAATGCCTTCTGCTTATCTTCATAGGGAAGGTTTCTCATACAGTGCATTAATGTCCATTCTGTAATATGGAGACCAGAACTGATCAGCTCACTCTGAATGAAGCTGTCCCAAGATATATAAAGTTGAAGTACTTATAACCTTAGACTTGTAGTATTATTTATACTTCTTGATATTAAGCCAAGAATCCTGTTAGCTTTATTGTGAACAATCATGCACTGTTGTCTTTGTTTTAAATTCTGCTAGCATTCAGATAAACTAAGATCTACATAATTTAATTTATAAATAAAATAGTTGTTTTCCTGGAATTAGAATCTTTCATATGTCCACAGTGAACTGCATCTGCCACTTACATGTCTGATCCCAACGTTAACTTTTCTAAGTCACCCCAGTGTCATCATCAGAAATTATGACAGCCTATTTTAGTGTAATTGGTATACTTATGTCGCTATTTATTCTATCATCTATGTCATTTATACAGAGTGTAAACAACAGGGGCTCCAATACCGACCCTTGTGGCACACCATTTGTAACGGGTTCTCGTTATGATTTCTTCCCACATATGCAATGCACTCTTTGTAGCCTTTATGTCAGTCATACCTCAATCCCAGGACATAATTTCTCCTTAACCATGAGCCACTTGTCTCTTCAACAGTCTTCTTTGTCAAGCTTTATCAAAGGCCCTTACTGAAGTTTTAATGCACAATATATTTATCTTGGTTTACCACCTTGAATACCTTAATGGAAAAGGTCAGTAAATTTGTAAGGCAAGAATACCCGTTTGTAAAATCATACTAAAATTCATTAACTCTTTCAGGGTCGAGAGGCCCTCTCCTAAACTTGTTCTCAGGGTCAAAAATTTTTCGGAAAAAAAAAAAAAAAAAAATTATGAAATGATAGAGAATCTTTTCCCAATCATAATGACACCAAAAGTATGAAATTTAAAGGAAAACTTATGGAATTATGCTCTTATGAAGTTAGCGGTCTCGCCAATGCATAAACATCGGCGATTCTGCCCACTTTGAGCCCTATTTTTGGCCAATTCCTATGTACTAGTCGACAAAAATCATATTTATTTCGTTAGAACTCCATATTTCCTGTCGAATGAGTACAAAAAACCACCCATTTACCAATTTCAACTATCCAATAAAGTGGTTAGAAATTGGCAATTTTGCCAATTTCACACAAATTTCAGAAAATGCCAGTTTCCAAATAGGGTCCAGAATAAACAAGAAAGACATTCCTGGCACTAAAATAACAAGTTCTTTGTTCATTAGTCATGTCTCCAGGCCCCTTTTATATTTCTTTTGCTTTCCACTTTGAATTTTTATTCTTACAGAAAAATAGAAGATTTACTGTTATGCAGACTTCTGCATTAGTGTAGAAATGGTATAAATAATATCAGCGCACTTGTGAAAGATTATTAGACTCACCAGTTGATGTGTATTGGACGCTTGGCATGATTTGTTTACTTTTGAACTTTGGTAAAAATCAAACATTTCTGCTACTTGGAGCTCAATTTCAAGGTACTTTTCCTTGTGAAACCAGTTAAAATCATCTCAGTTTCTGTAATATGTCTTCCATTCTATAAAATGAGACCAGGAAAACTAGAACACAACCAAAAATACCATACAAAAATACAGTGCAAAGTCGCTGTTTTAATCCAAAAACACGGTCAAAGTTTTTTTTCTCATTGCGCACTGTGTGCTGCAGGATTTTTTTATACTGCGCACACTGACCACATAGACTCATTCTTTCATATGTAGACCATACTAATACATCGAAAACCCTGAAAGGGTTAATTAAATTGTATCTTTCAAAGGGTTTTTGAATTACATCAGCAATTATTGATTCTGTCATGTTTCCCACAATAGGCTACACTGATTCATCTATAATTTGAAGCTAAGGGCCTGTCTCCCTCTTTGTAAATTGGTAAATTACCATTTTCTGCATATCCTGTAGGATACCCATTTGTAGTCATCTGTTATTGGTTTCCTAAGTTTAGCAACACAAACTCCATTCATCTTTCCTCTATAAACCTGTAATCTAATCCAAGATCAACTTCAGTTTAAATATTTCAGATCTCTTAAATGTGATTGACCACTTAATGTTTGGATAAATGTCTGACGCTACCGTCAATTTCCGATGCAATAAATCCATAAAGATTCGCTTAGCAACTCCCCTCATGGACTATAGGAACACACAAACCCACCGACTCTGGTCTGTGCAAGCAATATGTCGTGATGCTCTAATTATGTATGTGATTTATGTCTGGATGCAAGTCTATGTTTTTTTTTTATTAATAAACTCATGCAGTTATCCCAAGTAAATGGCCACATTTGCAGCTAATAATTCATCTTAAATATATGTTGAAATTATTAATCAAAATGACTAAGTAAAAAATTAGCTCATTAATCTGAAGGCAGACTGACTCATGTCCATTGTCAGGAAAATATTTGCTTCTTTTTTATTTTACTTTTTAGTCATATTTCTTAATTATTATTACAAGATTTTTTGTCAGTATTTGATAATGGTAAACTTTAAAAAATACAGTAGCTGAAAAACTGCTAAATACTTTCAGTGATAATGTCATATTAATTCCTTGCATCAAGAGCCCTTAATAGGTATCAACTCACCCCCTCCTCTCCCCTCCTTGAAACCCCAATAATAACTATTCTGTATGTTCAATCCTTGTCTAAGTACAGTAGAATCCCTGTATCTGCAAGGGATACATTCCAGGACCTACTGTGGATACCTGAAACCACGGATAGTAGCAAACCCTACATTTAAGTAATTTTTCGTTTACATACTTAGGATAAAATTTAATTGATAAATTATGCACAATAAGTCGAGAATTAGCACTTTTTACTGATGGGAAGCACTTCATTACTTCTCTTATGCTTTGAAGAACTGTCTTCATCACAATTTTACAATTTGGTGTCATTATTTAACAAAACTAAGGGTTATTTTTGGGTCAGGGTAAACCACAGATAACTGAAACTGTGGAAACCAGACCCATGGAAATGGTGATCCTACTGTATAGAAGTAACTTGATACATAGAGGTAGAGGAAAAAGAAAGTACTGCTGTTGAAATAATCATTTGATAATTAACCTATACGTATTATGGTGTGAAGAGATATACATAAATTTATCTTACAGATATGAGAAGTTGGAAGCGTTCTTGCAAGTCATAGCATCTTCCATAAGACAGCAATTTGATAGAATGATTGAGAGTTTTGAAGTGGAATGGGAATCTGCTGTGAATAAACTTACGCCTCTTTATGACCAATTGGTTTCATGGTGGGAAACGTAAGTATATTGTATGTTGAGGTTATAAAATCTGTACTTTTGCAAGTATGATAGCTTACATCTTTGGTTATACCACATGTAATCTGCTTATGCAAGTTATCACAAAAAAGACAGAGTATAAAATAGTATATATTTCTTTTCATAATTCAGCTTTAACCCCTGAACTGTCCAAACGTAGATCTACGTTCTCTCGCCCAGTGCTCCGAATATTTAAAAAAAAAAAAAAAATTAATGAAGAGGACTTTTTTTTACATAAAGTAATGTAAAAAACATTCTAAGAGTCAGTACTTAGAGATATAAGGCCACAAAGTCAGCACTTGTCACTCACATGACAGCAAAATGAAGTGTTGCCACTTGCAGATGTGTTGCCGATATACTTTTTTTTTTTTTTTTTTTTAATTTGTATAATTTTTATGTTCTGATAATGACAATTTGTAGTAGTTCTTGTGATTTTATAGTTAATCTTTGTTCTGACACTAATATTAGGTACTGAAATAGTGCTCAATAGTCATAAACGCCATGACAGGTGAACATTTTCACCTATCTTAGTCACATACTATTGTCTAAAATACAGTGGACTCCCGGTTAACGATATTTTTTCATTCCAGAAGTATGTTCAGGTGCCAGTACTGACCGAATTTGTTCCCATAAGGAATATTGTGAAGTAGATTAGTCCATTTCAGACCCTCAAACATACACGTACAAACGCACTTACATAAATACACTTACATAATTGGTCGCATTGGGAGGTGATCGTTATGCGGGGGTCCACTGTATATACATAGTATTTATAGGTCCCAGCAATGTTTTGGATACATGAGAGTATATAGTAATAATAATAATAAATAATAATAATAATAACAATAAGTTCCACTGCTGACAATGATGAGTGTCATCTTTTCTTATCACCCCACTACTGACAGTGGTGACATTTGATGAGTGTTATCTTATCTTATCTCTCCACTAATGACAGTGGTGACATTTGATGAGCCTTCACTTTATTTGTTTTCACTCCTACACATAAACATGTCTGTCTGTCTGTGTATCTATCTGCCTCAAAGAGTTGCTTATGAACCAGGTGGTATTACACACGCTCACTATCTACAAGCACAGTATAGCACTTTGTCTGGATTTTTTGGGTTACCCTAGGTAATTTACACTATGTATAATTATACTGTATTTACGTATATGTTCCTGTGAGATAGAGACAGAGATAAAGATAGATACAGACAGACAGATGGAGATAGAGACAGCCAGCCATCTAGCCAGCCAGCCTGCCGAAATTACGGTTCCAGAATTGTTTCTTTTTACTTAGGGCATAGGTTATAGGGCATTCTGGCAAGATGACACTTTCCTCTTATTACGACATGACATCAGTGAATCCTTGGTGTTTGCTACGCTGTTTGCTCTAGCTGGTGCTCAGTTGAACTGGTGCTCTCACAAGGTACTAAATGGTCCCAGATTTTTTTAATACAGTGCACACCGAGGGTTAAGACCCATTCTGTGCTGACCAAGCATCTTAGGCCAAGCGTGCCAAATTTGGAGGCAGGAAAATAAAACGTAATCTACGTTTGGAGTGCTAGCAGTAAGAACATTGATCTACGTTTGGACAGTTAAGGGGTTAATAACCCTCATGTAATCAATAGGCTTTAAACCTAATAATCCAACCAACCAAACAGCAGTTGTCGAATCAGTGTATATACACCGAGAGATGTATATTTATCAGTACACATATATATACATCATGCCTGTCACAGCTGCTGAACCATTATGACAGAATTACGGAGACATTGGAAGACGACCAAAATGCAGATGTGATTTACACAGATTTTACAAAGGCTTTTGACAAAAACGATCATGGAGTGATAGCGCACAAAATGAGGGCCATGGGCATTATGGGGAAGGTAGGCAGATAGATTTTGGGTTCCTAACACACACAACACAAAAAAGTAGTAATAAACAGAACCAATCCAGCATCAGTGAGGTAAAAAGCTCAGTGCCTCAAGGTACTGTCCTGGCACCTCTGCTGTTTCTCATCCTCACAGCAGACATAAATAAAAACATCTGTCACACTTTTGTATCATCATTTGCAGATGACGCTAAAATAAGCATGAAAGTCACTACGGTAGAGGACACTGAAAAATTACAGAAAGACATAAGCAGGGTTTTCCAGTGGGCAGTGGAGAACAGCGTGATGTTCAGTGGTGATAAGTTCCAGCTGTTTAGGTATGGAAAGAATAAAGAACTCGAAAGGAACACTAAATACAAACCTCAAGAGGGTCACCAAATAGAATGAAAGGAACACATAAGAAAACCTGGGAATAATTATGTCAACTGACCTTTCTGTTAAAGACCATAACAAGACAAAGATCATGACAGCCAGGAAGATGACAGGGTGGGTATTGAGAACTTACAAAACAAGGGAAATAATGCCGATGGTGACACTCTTCAAATCACTAGTGCTCTCTCATTTAGAATGTTGATCAGTGCTGATGGCCCCATTCAAAGCAGAAGAAATATCAGAGCTGGAATAAATACAGAGATCGTTTATGGCTCACATTGACCCAGTAAAGCGCCTAAATTACTGGGAATGCCTTCAAGTCTTGAAGATGTACTCATTGGAGCAGAGGAGAGAGAGATACATGATAATATATACCTGGAAAGTGCTCTAGTGCCTGGTCCCAAATCTGCACACTGCCATAACAACATACTGGAATGAGAGATATGGGAGGAAGTGCAAAATAAACCCAGTGAGGAGCAGGAGTGCTGTGGGGACAATAAGACAATACTGTATCAACATCTGGGGTCCCAGACTATTCAGCATCTTACAGAAGATATCAGAAACACGGCTGGAACAAGTGTAGAAGCCTTCAAGAGGAAACTGAACAAGTATCTTCACCAGGTGCCAGATAAACTAAGCCGTGATGGATATGTGGGGCAGTGGGCCTCCAGCAGCAACAGCCTGGTTGACCAGGCAAGCACCAGACGAGCCTGGGCCATGACCAGGCTGCAAGAGTAGTGAAACTCTTGAAACTCATCAAAAGTGTATAAATCTGTAGTGGAAGGAAGGCACGATAGGAGTTGTCCTAGGAAAGGTTGGAGGGGGGGTAAAGAGGTTTTGTGTGCAAGGGGCTGAGACTTACAGCACTCGTGTGTGAACATGTTAGATAGGAGCAAGTGGAACAAATGATTTTCATGACTTCACATGCTGTTGGAGTGTGAGCAAATAACATTTATGAAGGGATTCAGGGAAACTGGTTAGCTGAACTTGAATCCTGGAGGTGGGAAGTACATTGCCTGCACTCTGAAGGAGGGGTGGAGATATGTTGCAGTTTTTGAACTGTAGTGTAGGCATGCCTCTGGCAAGACAGTGATGGAGTGAGTGATGATGAAAGTGTTAATTTTTTGGGGGGGTCATCCTGCCTTGGTGGGAAATGGCCAATGTGTTAATAATTATGATAAAAATATATATGCGGAGGTTATAGGTAGTAGGTTGGTAGACAGCAACCGCCCAGGGAGGTACTACCATTCTGCCAAGTGAGTGTAAAACGAAAGCCTGTAATTGTTTTACATGATGGTAGGATTGCTAGTGTCTTTTTTTCTGTCTCATAAACATGCAAGATTTCGGTACGTCTTGCTACTTCTACTTACACTTAGGTCACACTACACATTTTTTTTTTTTTTTTTTTTTTTTTTTCTTCTTCAACAAGTCGGCCGTCTCCCACCGAGGCAGGGTGACCCAAAAAAGAAAGAAAATCCCCAAAAAGAAAATACTTTCATCATCATTCAACACTTTCACCACACTCACACATTATCACTGTTTTTTAAAGTGCAGGCATTGTACTTCCCATTTCCAGGACTCAAGTCTGACTATATGAAAATAACCAGTTTCCCTGAATCCCTTCACTAAATATTACCCTGCTCACACTCCAACAGATCATCAGGTCCCAAGTATCATTCGTCTCCATTCACTCCTATCTAACACACTCATGCACGCTTGCTGGAAGTCCAAGCCCCTAGCCCACAAAACCTCCTTTACCCCCTCTTTCCAACCCTTTCGAGGACGACCCCTACCCCTCCTTCCTTCCCCTATAGATTTATATGCTTTCCATGTCATTCTACTTTGATCCATTCTCTCTAAATGACCAAACCACCTCAACAACCCCTCTTCTGCCCTCTGACTAATGCTTTTATTAACTCCACACCTTCTCCTAATTTCCACACTCCGAATTTTCTGCATAACATTTACACCACACATTGCCCTTAGACAGGACATCTCCACTGCCTCCAACCGTCTCCTCGCTGCTGCATTTACCACCCAAGCTTCACATCCATATAAGAGTGTTGGTACTACTATACTTTCATACATTCCCTTCTTTGCCTCCATAAATAACGTTTTTTGACTCCACATATACCTCAATGCACCACTCACTTTTTTTCCCTCATCAATTCTATGATTAACCTCATCCTTCATAAATCCATCCGCCGACACGTCAACTCCCAAGTATCTGAAAACATTCACTTCTTCCATACTCCTCCTCCCCAATTTGATATCCAATTTTTCTTTATCTAAATCATTTGATACCCTCATCACCTTATTCTTTTCTATGTTCACTTTCATCTTTCTACCTTTACACACATTCTCAAACTCATCCGCTAACCTTTGCAATTTTTCTTTAGAATCTCCCATAAGCACAGTATCATCAGCAAAAAGTAACTGTGTCAATTCCCATTCTGAATTTGATTCCCCATAATTTAACCCCACCCCTCTCCCGAACACCCTAGCATTTAATTCTTTTACAACCCCATCTATAAATATATTAAACAACCATGGTGACATTACACATCCCTGTCCAAGACCTACTTTTACCGGGAAGTATTCTCCCTCTCTTCTACACACCCTAACCTGAGCCTCACTATACTCATAAAAACTCTTAACAGCATTTAGTAACTTACCACCTATTCCATATACTTGCAACATCTGCCACATTGTTCCTCTATCCACTCTATCATATGCCTTTTCTAAATCCATAAATGCAATAAAAACTTCCCTACCTTTATCTAAATACTGTTCACATATATGCTTCAATGTAAACACTTGATCTACACGTCCCCTACCCATTCTGAAGCCTCCCTGCTCATCCGCAATCCTACATTCTGTCTTACCTCTAATTCTTTCAATTATAACCCTACCGTATACTTTTCCTGGTATACACTCAGTAAACTTATTCCTCTATAATTTTTACAATCTCTTTTGTCCCCTTTCCCTTTATATAAAGGGACTATACATGCTCTCTGCCAATCCCTAGGTACCTTCCCCTCTTTCATACATTTATTAAACAAAAGTACCAACCCCTCCAACACTATATCCCCTCTGGGTTTTCTGCTATTTTCTTTCTAGTTCTTGTTCTTGTTTATTTCCTCTTATCTCCATGGGGAAGTGGAACAGAATTCTTCCTCCGTAAGCCATGCCTGTTGTAAGAGGCGACTAAAATGCTGAGGGTAAGGGGCTAGTAACCCCTTCTCTTGTATAAATTACTAAAGTTAAAAAGAGAAACTTTCGTTTTTCTTTTTGGGCCACCCTGCCTTGGTGGGATACGGCCGGTTTATTGAAAAAAAAAATGCGGAGGTTATCTCCCAGTGCACATACACTGAGTTTACTATGATATCTATTTTAGGGATTAAAATTACTGATGTTAGTGTATATTTAAAATACAGCTTAAATGATCCACGTGTAGTCAACAGACTTTAAAACTTAAACATCTAGAAATATTGTCATATCAGTAAATTACATGATTTAATTTATCATTTATTATAGGGCTAGCACTCAGACATCATCAGTATTCACTGACTTGAAGTATCAACTAGTGGAAGTCATGAACATAGTCAGAAATGTTCCAGGAGAGTTCCTCACCTCCATTAAAGAAGACTTTGAACCCATCTTTGAGTCTATGAAGGAAGTATTTATAAGGTGAGTCACTTGTGTTCTGTTGGCTGAGGTATGAAGTTGCCCAAAAGAAGTGGTAAAGTGACACATAGAACAAAATAAGAAACCTTCATTAATACAGTGTTTCACCCACCTGAGGCTTCATCTGGCAAAACATCACTATATGTAGGCAAAGCTTCATACTGTGGAGGTGGAATGTATGGGGAAGGAAGAGGGATGGTATTGGGACAACAAAGGCAAGGTAAGGCTGCTCCACCATCCTGCTGTTCATTCACATGTTCAGAACACGTGTGTAGGATGCAGACAGCATGCCTCTGTCACTTATGTAGATTACCAGAATTAATATGCTAATATGTACAGTTCTACACATTTAAAAGGTACATAATTTTATATAATTTGCATAATTTTATACAAGCCTTCCCAGCCTCATTTGGGCCCAGTGGTTTCTAGTTTAATTTTTATTGTATATTCTTCATTCTAGTAATAATATTTATTTCAACAAGTACATGTACAAGGTATATAGGCCTAGCTGACATCAATGACATAGTACTACCATATAGAAAGCCCTTTGTTATGCAGAGCATTTTGGGCAAATTAGGTCAATTATGTCCCCAGAATACGACCCAAACCAGTCGACTAACACCCAGGTACCTATTTTATTGATAGGTGAACATGGGCAGCAGGTGCCTTAAGTAAACACATCCTAATGTTTCCACCTATACCAGGGATCAACCCCCCGAACCTCAGTGTATGAGCTGAGTGTACTAGCAGTCGAGCTACAACACACCTTTATATATTCTCATTCTCAGTATTTTCTCTTTGTTTCTTATCTCTTTATCTCAGCCAATACAATAATTTCTAAAAGTAAAAAATCCCTGATCTTATTTTTTAATAATACATTATATTTTATTTGGGATATTTTTAAGTCATTCCTGTATCTCTTATAGTCCAAAAATGGAATAACATGCTGACCTATTTCTTACCTAAATCCTTTTAAGTTTATATTGCTCTTGCAGCATTCTACAAAAATATTTGAGGTTGCTAACAAACTTCAGAGGTAATTTTTAAATAATTATATTTCTAGAATACCATATGAGTGATGTAACAAAGGATCTTTTCATGTTTTCACAGATATGGCCAAGAACTTAATACTGTCTTTTATGATCACTGCTGGAATCTTGTCCAGCAGATGGTGGAGGAGTTGATAGCAGACGTGCTAGAGGTGAGAAATTTGACTGAAATTGACAGTAGCTAGAAGCAAGAAGTTTTGTTGATATTGACATCAGTTAAAAGTGAGAAGTTTGGTTGATATTGACAGAAGCTAAAAGTGAGAAGTTTGCTATCAGCAACAGCTTGAAGTGAGAAGTTTGTTAGTACAGCTGTTACTTGTATGTAACTACCGATGCTGAGAAACTGTTGATTATCATCAGAGTAGGGAAATGCTTAGCCCTGAGAATGGAAGTTAATCAGGTTTGATCATAGGAAGGGAGGGGTAGCCTCAATTCCCTGGATCAAATGTTCTTCATCAGCATCAAGGCACAACCCCATATCCCCTGAAGGAGGATGGACCTATAGAATTTGAGAGTACTTTCTTTCAGTCAATCTTGTAGCTTAGTTTATTGGTTGTAAACATGAGTGCTTGCTGCATCCATATAAGTGTTATCACATTAATCTCAGCTGCAATGGTTGGTGTAACAGTTTTTGAGAAGGACCTGCCTAGTATGGGCCAGTAGACTTGCTGCAGTGTTCCTTCATTCTTATGTTCTTAACTAGTGAAGAAAGTGGCCCCACACAACAAAACTACTTAGTACATGAATTTGAAGAAATTGGTGTGCTCTTTTTGTGGTAAAGTATTCTCTTCGTTTTTTTTTTTTTTAGATTTAGTATGTATTTTGACTGCTCCTTTTGATAGTAAAATCAATTTTCTTTATTGTAGTACTATACAGTAATACATTTTATGCTCAAAATACCTGTTTATTACATTTAGTGTGTTATCTTGTCACTTACATGACTGCTGTACTACAGTAAAAATATTGAATTGATATGTTTCATTTTTCAATATTTGCTTTGCATTATAAGTCAATTATTTGCAAATCATATAATCATCCTCTTAGTTGAATGTATGTTTATACAGTATTTTAATTTTATATATTGGTTCACTCCATCATGTGCATCTCTGGCCTCAGAGTGTGAACAGCAGTGCAGACAGCGTTAAAGAATTTTTCCAGCTAGAGGAATATCACAGGATAATTTTGCAAGCGAAAAATAATGCAGTGGCTTTGCTAGACAGTTTTTATACTGTAGTTCATGGTAAGTCATTCTTACATTTTGAAATAATGTGTGAGTTTTTGCATTCATGTAGAGGTGCTAAACCTGTTGAGGTCATACAGCAGTGATGTTAATGGGGGAGCATTGCCTCTATGTCCATTACATAATAGTGATTTTTTCTTAAACCTTTTAAAAGGAATTTTGAGTATCACTCACTTGCTAGTTCAAATACCATGTCAGAAAAAAGGTTCCTATTTTGAATTCAGCTGGGTTTTTTCTAGTTTAAGATAGAAAAATATATTTTGTAAAAATCACATTTTTCTGTTAATTAACCCTTTGACTGTCCAAACGTAGATCTATGTTGATGTGTGTAATGCTCTGAACGTAGATCTACGTCCAATTTTATAATTTTATGTGCTTTCAAATGTAGAAAATAAAGGTCAGAGCACTACGCACGTCAACATAGATCTACGTTTGGACAGTCTAAGGGTTAAAATGAGATGAAACATACATAACTAATAAGAAACAATAGTTCAAAATAAATACATGTAATTAACAATCAGAAAATATTTGTCATTACAGTACTGTGTACAGTAGGGCCCCGCTTTATGGCATTCCAGTAATACAGGGATTTAAAATTATGACCAAAATTTGCTGTACGGCGAGCTGTCTTTCAAATACAGCAACCCCACCCGGTTTGTTTATATTCTTCATGAGCACATATCTCTATTATGTCTGGAAATTTTCCAAAATTTCAAGTGTTTTAAAGTTATTGCATATTTTATATGTACTCTGATAATTATACTTATGTGTACTTGTACCTAAATATACTTACAAACTGTGCTGGCATGCAGGTACACATTAAAATTACTAAGAGTCTCTCTACTCATGAAGACTCTCTCTAATCTTGAAGACACCCATTAAATGTTGTATATTATGCTAATACAGTGGAACCTCAAAAATCGAACTTAATCCGTTCCAGGAGCTACAGTAGTTCTAAATTCGAAAAGTCTGAAATTCGAGGCAATATTTCCCATAAAAAATAATGGAAATACAATTAATCCGTTCCAGAAACCCAAAAATATTCACACAAAAAATACATTTTATAGAGATTAATTACAGTTTTACATACAACAAATACTATAGTTTTTAATTATGTATAGTAATACAGTGGACCCCCGGTATTCGATATTAATCCATTCCTGAGAGCTCATCGAATACCAAAAATATCGAAAAGCGAATCAATTTTCCTCATAAGAAATAATGGAAATCAAAGTAATCCATACAAGACACCCAAAAGTATGAAAAAAAATTTTTACCACATGAAATATTAAGTTTAATGCAATAGAATAATTACAATAACAACAATAACAATAGAATAATTGACACTTACCTTTAATGAAGATCTGGTGATGATTGATGGGATGGGAGGAGGGGAGAGGTGTTAGTGTTTAGAAGGGGAATCCCCTTCCATTAGGACTTGAGGTAGCAAGTCCTTTTCCAGGGTTACTTCCTTTCTTCTTTTAATGCCACTAGGACCAGCTTGAGAGTCACTAGACTTCTGTCGCACAACATATCTGTCCATAGTGGCCTGTACCTCCCGTTCATTTATGACATTCCTAAAGTGTTTCACAACATTGTCAGTGTAATAGTCACCAGAACGGCTTACAATAGCTGTGTTAGGGTGATTGTCATCAAAAAAGGTTTGCACTTTAAGCCACATTGCACACATTTCCTTAATTTTTGAAGTAGGCAACTTCTTCAATTTCTCTATCCCCTCCTCTGAAGCAGTTTCCTCAGGTGTGGCCTCTTGTTGTTGAAGATGATCTAGCAGCTCATCAGTGGTTAGTTCTTCATTGTCCTCCTCCACCAACTCTTCCACATCCACCCCACTAACCTCCAACCCCAAGGACTTCCCCAATGCCACAATGGATTCCTCAACTGGCATAGGCTTCTCAGGGTTAGCCTCAAATCCTTCAAAATCCCTTTTGTCTACTCATTCTGGCCACAGTTTTTTCCAAGCAGAGTTCAAGGTTCTCTTAGTCACTCCCTCCCAAGCCATACCTATAAGGTTTATACAATTGAGGATATTAAAGTGATCCTTCCAAAACTCTTTTAGAGTCAGTTGAGTTTCTGTGGTCACTACAAAGCACTTTTGAAACATAGCTTTTGTGTACAGTTTCTTGAAGTTGGAAATGACCTGCTGGTCCATGGGCTGCAGGAGAGGAGTGGTATTAGGAGGCAAAAACTTGACCTTAATGAAGCTCATGTCCCCAGAAAGTCGCTCTGCCAAGTCTGTAGGATGACCAGGGACTTTGTCTAATACCAGGAGGCACTTAAGGTCTAATTTCTTTTCAATTAGGTAATTTTTCACAGTGGGGGCAAATGCATGGTGTAACCAGTCATAGAAAAAGTCCCTAGTGACCCATGCCTTACTGTTTGCCCTCCACAGCACACACAAATTAGCCTTGAGGACATTGTTTTTCCTGAACACTCTGGGAGTTTCAGAGTGATACACCAATAAAGGCTTCACTTTGCAATCACCACTAGCATTGGCACACATCAACAGAGTAAGCCTGTCTTTCATAGGCTTATGTCCTGGGAGTGCCTCTTCCTCCTGAGTAATGTAGGTCCTGCTTGGCATTTTCTTCCAAAACAGGCCTGTTTCGTCGCAATTAAACACTTGTTCAGGTTTCAAGTCTTCACTGTCTATGTGCAAAAATTATAGGGGGAGAAGTCTGTTGAGTATACCTGGTAAAGTGTATGGTAGAGTTATTATTGAAAGAATTAAGAGTAAGACAGAGAATAGGATAGCAGATGAACAAGGAGGCTTTAGGAAAGGTAGGGGGTGTGTGGACCAGGTGTTTACAGTGAAACATATAAATGAACAGTATTTAGATAAAGCTAAAGAGGTCTTTGTGGCATTTATGGATTTGGAAAAGGCGTATGACAGGGTGGATAGGGGGGCAATGTGGCAGATGTTGCAGGTGTATGGTATAGGAGGTAGGTTACTGAAAGCAGTGAAGAGTTTTTACGAGGATAGTGAGGCTCAAGTTAGAGTATGTAGGAAAGAGGGAAATTATTTCCCAGTAAAAGTAGGCCTTAGACAAGGATTTGTGATGTCACCGTGGTTGTTTAATATATTTATAGATGGGGTTGTAAGAGAAGTAAATGCGAGGGTCTTGGCAAGAGGCGTGGAGTTAAAAGATAAAGAATCACACATAAAGTGGGAGTTCTCACAGTTGCTCTTTGCTGATGACACTGTGCTTTTGGGAGATTCTGAAGAGAAGTTGCAGAGATTGGTGGATAAATTTGGTAGGGTATGCAAAAGAAGAAAATTAAAAGTGAATACAGGAAAGAGTAAGGTTATGAGGATGACAAAAAGATTAGGTGATGAAAGATTGGATATCAGATTGGAGGGAGAGAGTATGGAAGAGGTGAATGTATTCAGATATTTGGGAGTGGACGTGTCAGCGGATGGGTCTATGAAAGATGAGGTGAATCATAGAATTGATGAGGGGAAAAGGGTGAGTGGTGCACTTAGGAGTCTGTGGAGACAAAGAACTTTGTCCTTGGAGGCAAAGAGGGGAATGTATGAGAGTATAGTTTTACCAACGCTCTTATATGGGTGTGAAGCATGGGTGATGAATGTTGCAGCGAGGAGAAGGCTGGAGGCAGTGGAGATGTCATGTCTGAGGGCAATGTGTGGTGTGAATATAATGCAGAGAATTCATAGTTTGGAAGTTAGGAGGAGGTGCAGGATTACCAAAACTGTTGTCCAGAGGGCTGAGGAAGGGTTGTTGAGGTGGTTCGGACATGTAGAGAGAATGGAGCGAAACAGAATGACTTCAAGAGTATATCAGTCTGTAGTGGAAGGAAGGCGGGGTAGGGTCGGCCTAGGAAAGGTTGGAGGGAGGGGGTAAAGGAGGTTTTGTTTGCGAGGGGCTTGGACTTCCAGCAGGCATGCGTGAGCGTGTTTGATAGGAGTGAATGGAGACAAATGGTTTTTAATACTTGACGTGCTGTTGGAGTGTGAGCAAAGTAACATTTATGAAGGGGTTCAGGGAAACCGGCAGGCCGGACTTGAGTCCTGGAGATGGGAAGTACAGTGCCTGCACTCTGAAGGAGGGGTGTTAATGTTGCAGTTTAAAAACTGTAGTGTAAAGCACCCTTCTGGCAAGACAGTGATGGAGTGAATGATGGTGAAAGTTTTTCTTTTTCGGGCCACCCTGCCTTGGTGGGAATCGGCCAGTGTGATAATAATAAATAAAAATTTTTTCAGCTGCTTTTTGGTCCGAACTGGCAGCCTCACCATGCCTAATCACACTATGTATGCCACTACAATTCTTAAATCTTTCAAACCAACCTTTGCTGGCCTTAAATTCACTCACATCAGCACTAGTTGCAGGCAATTTCTTTACCAAATCGTCATGCAACTGCCTAGCCTTTTCACAAATGATCGCTTGAGAGATGCTATCTCCTGCTATCTGTTTTTCATTTATCCACACCAATAACAGTCTCTCAACATTTTCTAACACTTGCAGTCGCCATTATGTAATCACAGTTGCACCTTTTGCAAGAACAGCTTCCTTGATTGCCGTTTTCCTTGTCACTATAGTAGAGATGGTTGATTGGGGTTTACTATGCAACCTGCCCAGCTCCGACACACGCACTCCACTTTCGTACTTTGCAATTATCTCTTTCTTCATTTCAATAGTCATTAGCACTTTTTTTCTCGAAGGGTTGGCACTAGAAGCTTTCTTGGGGCCCATGGTGACTTATTTTGCAGAAACAAGCACTAAAAACAGTGATAATGTGGAATGTATCGAATGTATCCTTAGATGCGCGCACACTGGCTGGCTTGTAAACACTGGCACACACGGGGCAGTTCAGGCCACATATGGACACGTCTCGTACGAATCGTATCGAATACCAGGTTTTCGATCGGATACCGAGGCAAAATTTTTGCGATATAATACATCGAATACCAATGCCATCGAATACCGGGGGTCCACTGTACATATAAAATAACATTTTTACTT